GCATTTCATTTTCTTGGAATTGAATTTTGTTTTCAGGGGCCATTGGATTTAAGTGTCTTTAAATAAATAAATAAATAAATAAACAAACAAACAAACAAATAAATAAATAAATAAATAAATAAATAAATAAATAAATAAGATATCATCACCGCAGGGAGGGGGGGCGATGATAACTTCCTCAATGACTCAAGGGGGCGTTTCTTTCAAAAAGGTTAAGAACCACTGTTTAACTGATATGTAAAACCATCTGTAAGCTATACTTTACTGTACATCCCAAGCTGCTGTTTAAATTTTCCCAAGTGTAAAAGCAATGCAGTGTGTGTGTGAAGCCACCATTTATTTATTTATTTATTTGTTCCATTTATATACTACCCTTCTAGTGACACATCACTAGTCTGGGTGATTTACAGCAAGAAAACCAATATCTTGCACCCCACACCCAACTAAAAGACCAAACAATTCCCACAAAAACCACAGTGGCAACAGCTGTAAAAGTAATATATGCAATTAAAAGGTAAGACAACAGACAATAAATCAGCAGGTTTCCCTCAAGGGGAGGATATCTTAAAGGTCTCTTTTAAAAGCACAGATTTCACAAGCTTTCTTATCATAAGGAGCAAGGGAGCCTGGCAAACATCTACAGTACAGGTAAGGCATTTCAAAACCTTGCAACTACCATATTTCCTAATCCTTGTTTTTTTGGAACTCCCCTGAGGTAGCCACCCATAGCAAGAAAGTCAAAATTTCAAAGTAGACACACACACTTCTTGTGGTATATTTTAAATTGTCTCTTGGGCTGTAAAAAGTTCTTCGTATTTATAGCTTAATTTGCTCTTCAATCAATCAGTCAACCAGCCACTCAATTAATGGAACAGAGTACCTTCTGCCTTCTTAGAAGTATGCTGTTTTTTTCTCTCTCCACTCTCAAAGAAGGACAGAGGTCTCCATCATTAAAGGACATTGAGGGCATGAACTGGCACATAAAACCACAGAGGTTTTTATGGTTATCTGTTCCGACCTGCTCAAGGTAGCATTCCAAAACTTGAAAGGTGTCTCATATCAACATCCAGCCAATGTACTGTTATTTTAATTGCTTTACCCTTTATTAGAAGTGATTAGCTCTTCTCATAAGACTGCAGATAGTTGATTAGAACAAAAGCCTCATACCAATGGAAGAGAGTTGAGTTCTATGGCATACTTGTGATAAACAATGGGGACTGAGATTGTGATTAGTGCTGTAAGAGTAAAAGAGTCAGTGCCACTAAGACTTGTTGCACTTAGGTGATTCTATTAAGGAACCAGAATCCATTTTCCTGGCTGCGACCCTATTCTTAAACGGAAATTTCATGGTCTTATCCATTTTTGCTGGAGAAGCCTTTGCCATCAAAAGGTAGCTTTCTATCTTTGATCTGGTATCCATAGATGCTCCTGAAGAATGGACACAAATATATCTGTGAAGATATAGAGCTCTAGAAAAAAAATTGTAGCCTATTCCAAAATGTGGCATAATGCATTAATTTGTTGGTAGGTCAGACTGTGCACCTTTAAAAAAAAAAAAACAGTTCTGGGATCCTCAAACAGGTGGTGGGTAAACACTTCCACTGTTTCCCAGAGGAATTGTGGAAGCACAGCTACCACTTCTTGGTAATTGCCTTTATGAACAACAAGAGCTGTGAGGAGTAGAACCTGTTGCCCATTATGAATATGAACTAGGACAGAACATGATTTTTGCCATCACTTAATGCAGTGATTGGTGATCTCCACAGTCTGGAAACTGCATATATTCATCTCTGGGTCTTGTGGGGGGGACACCTCTGCTCTGGAAAGCTTCAGGCTCCAAGAGCTTTGGCCTTCATCTTCAATGAGTCATCTACATTATCTGACTGATACAGGAATGAAAATCCCTGTAAGGAAAGATGAGTAACATCCTCTACAAAAGGTATCAGCAGTGATGGAGACAGAAGTGATGAAGGATCAGTATCATTCTTAGAAAATTGAGATAGAAATTAAACTGGCACATTCAATTCCTTCTGGCAGTTAATTTATTTATTTATTTATTTATTTATTTTATTTATTTAATTTATATGCCGCCCACTCTACCCAAAGGTCTCTGGGCGGCTTACAACAATTAAAATTCAACACAATTAAATAGCCAAGTGGGATAAAGTGGCTCACAGTAAAGGTAAAGGTAAAGGTTCCCCTTGACAATTTTTGTCCAGTCGTGTTCGACTCTAGGGGGCGGTGCTCATCCCTGTTTCCAGGCCATAGAGCCAGCGTTTGTCGGAAGACAATCTTCCGTGGTCACATGGCCAGTGCGACTTAGACACGGAATGCTGTTACCTTCCCACCGAAGTGGTCCCTATTTATTTACTTGCATTTGCATGCTTTCGAACCGCTAGGTTGGCAGGAGCTGGGACAAGCGACGGGAGCTCACTCCGTCGCGTGGATTCGATCTTACGACCGCTGGTCTTCTGACCTTGCAGCACAGGCTTCTGCAGTTTAGCCCGCAGCGCCACCACGTCCCTACACAGTAAGTAAATTTAAAAACACAATAAATCACACATTAAATAGCGATTAAACTATAATAATAATTAAAAATACATTAAGTAATTTAAAACATTTAAAACTTTAAAAGTAAACTTAGCTAAAAACCAGCATCCAGGGACTCAGTTATGGTTGCTAAAAGAAAGAGTAAAAGAAAGAACCCAAAGAAATTTGAAAGGGTGCTGAGAATGAGTTAGGAAAATGGAAATCTCTTTAACTGAGGTATAAAATACTTGGAAATTTGGAAGACGCATGGGTTAGATTCAAGCAAGAATTAAAGATTTCAAATGGAACCTCCATTTTTATTTGTTTTTTACTAGTTATACACAGCGAAGTTCCCTGAGATGCTACTCATCTCGTAGTTAAAAGAAAATTGACTGGAAAATGGAAGCCATTCCTTCCTGANACCGCTAGGTTGGCAGGAGCTGGGACAAGCGACGGATGGAGGGAAGGACATTCCGCCCCCCCCCCGCATCTCTAGTCTTGCCTTAGGAGTTACCTGAATGAAACTGCACAGCTGCAGAATCTGTATGTTGGGCTGCACAGAGACAAAGAAGGAGACCATATTTATAAAATTGTAATGCCTGTTTAGTGAGTGACTGGTGCCATTTCTGATTGGCAGGAGCTGGGACAAGCGACGGATGGAGGGAAGGACATTCCGCCCCCCCCCCGCATCTCTAGTCTTGCCTTAGGAGTTACCTGAATGAAACTGCACAGCTGCAGAATCTGTATGTTGGGCTGCACAGAGACAAAGAAGGAGACCATATTTATAAAATTGTAATGCCTGTTTAGTGAGTGACTGGTGCCATTTCTGAGCCTTGAGGTAGGACAGTAATAAGTCCAAAGAAAGAAATGTATAAACGTTTATCAGAAAAAGTTATGAAGTTTTTACAGATCCTTACCTTTACTGGCACTAATCATCTGTAGTACCATTTCAGCAGCTCCACGTTCATGGAGTCGAGATTGTTGATACAGAGTTTTCTGCTTTTCCATTTCTTTTTCCTGAGTACAGCAACATATTGATATAAGTATGCTTGTTTCCTACACACAGAAGGATATTAGCACCAAAAGCTGATTGAGATATACTAAAATATACAACTTGTCATTTGAAACAATCACGGTGCCAGAGGACTGGAGGATAGCACATGTCAAGCCAATCTTTAAAAAGGAATGGAGGGGGGAACCTGAGAAACCACAGACCAGTTAGCCTAACATCTGTTCCAGGGAAGATGGTGGAAAGCCTAATCCAAGATAAAATCATGAAACACATAGAAGAATAAGCCTTGCTGATGGAAAATCAGCATGGGTTCTGTAAGGGTAAGTCTTGCCTCACAAACCTTTCAGAATTATTTGAAAAGGTCAACAGGCATATGGAATCAGGTGAACCAGTGGATATTGTCTATCTGGGTTTTCGGAAGGCGTTTAACACAGTCCCTCACCAAAAGCTGCTAAGAAAACTCCACAGTCAGGGGATAAGAGGGTAGATTCCCTGATGGATTGAGAATTGGTTGAGAACCAGGAAAAAGAGAGTAGGTGTCAATGGGCAATTTTCACAACGGAGAGAGGTGCAAAGCAGTGTGCCCAGGGATCTGTCCTGGGACCAGTGTTTTTCAACCTGTTCATAAATGACCTAGAGACAGGGATAAGCAGTGAGGTACCCAAGTTTGCAGATGATGCAACACTTTTCCGGGTGGTGAAGACCAGAAGGGATTGTGAAGGGCTCCAGAAGGATCTCTCCAAATTGGGAGAATGGGCAGCAAAATAGCAAATGTGTTTCAATATAAGAAAATGTAAGCAATGCACATTGAGGCAAAAGAAATCAAAACTTTATTTATCAGCTGATGAGTTCTGAGCTCCCTGATGGATCAGGAAAGAGATCTTGATGTGCTGGTGGACAGCTCGATGAAAGTGTCAACCCAGTGTGCGGTGGCAGTGAAGAAAGCCAATTCCATAATAGATATCATTAAAAAGGGGATTGAAAATAAAACAGGCAACATTATAATGCTATTAAACAAAACGCTGGTAAGGCCTAGAGTACTGTGTACAGCTCTGGTCACCACACCTCAAAAAAGCCATAGTGGAACTGGAAAAGGTGCAGAAAAGAGTAACTAAAATAATGACTAGCCTGGGGCACCTCCCTTATGAAGAAAGGCTACAGCATTTGGGGCTCTTTAGTCTAGAGAAAAGGCTCCTGAGGGGGGATATGATTGAGACACATAAGATTATGCAGGGGAAGGATAAAGTGGATAGAGGGAAACTCTTTTCCCCCTCTGGCAATACCACAACCAGGGGACATCCACTCAAACTGAGTGTTGGGAGAGTGAGAACAGACAAAATAATTCTTTACCCAGTGTGTTGTTAGTCTGTGGAACTCCTTGCTACAGGATGTGGTGATGGTATCTGGCCTAGATGCCTTTAAAAAGGGATTGGATAGATTTCTGGAAGAAAAGTCCATCACAGGTTACAAGCCATGATAGGGATGTATAATCTCCAGGCTTAAAAGGAAGGTACCTCCAAATGCCAGATGCAGGGGAGGAGTATCAGGAAACAAGTATCTAGTTGTCTTGTGTGCTCCCAGCGGCATCTGGTGGGGCCACTGTGAGATACAGGAAGCTGGACTAGATGGATGCTTGGCCTGATCCAGCAGGGCTTTTCTATGTTCTTATGAGATTTGTAGAATGGCTCAAATCCTCTTATCAATTTATGCTGGCATAGTATACATAGAGTTATTTTTGGAGGCAAATTTCCTCAATTTACGAAATTGAGGAAATTTAAGAAATTACCTTAGACATCAGTTGCATACTGACTGAAATCCCGCTGCATAGAATAGTAGATTGCACTAAAGTAGGGCCATTTGAATAAACTGAGCTCCTCATCACATCTTAACTGATTCAAAGGGCCTATTCTACTATGCTAAGCAACAGGATTTCAGCCACTGAGTTGTATGTCTCAGCATGCAACTGATAATGCCTATGGTGATTTCTTTATTTGGGCAATTTGCCTCCAAAATGTATGCCATCTGCATAGCTATGCAAGAAGATTTTGGCCAATAAATTGGCTGTGAAACTGATTCACCCACTACCCCATTAAATCATAATTAATATAACTAAATTAGCTGAAAATTATGGTTTCTGTCTAATCCTCATCCTAGTGTAGCAACATCTGTGTTTATTTTTGTAATATATTTCAGTCAACATTTTTGTGTAATAAAGGTTCAATTGAAGTAACATAATGCATGGAATAAATGCTGTGAGATTAACACTCTGGATTTAGAAATAGTAACATCTTGTTTGAGGAATACAAGAGAGGGAAAAAATTCAGTGAAGAAAATGCAAGCTCAGAGGTAAAGATGGATGAAGCCTTATGCTGAATAAGAGGAACAGACCAAGGAGCTCTAATTGTGCCCAATAATAATATTCATAAATATATAAAAAGGAAAATAGGCCACAAATCATACAATCTCCAGTGCCTATATATGAATGCCAGGAGTTTGGAAAACAAAGAAGAAGAATTGGAAATTTTAGTTTAGGAGGGTAAATATTTCTGCACAGCAGAATGAATTTGGTTATCCCATTAAAAGCATCTGGATTAATATAACTGAGATGAAAAACAAAAGGAATCTGATAGTTGCAGTGTACTATAAAATGTCCAATAAAGAAGAAGATGAGGATAAAACCTTTGAAAAACAAATGGCAGGAATTTCAAAGAGCTACGATGTAGTAATAATGTAGAATATATGTTGGGAGGCAAATGCTGCCAAGCCTAACTCTTCTAATAAATTCCTGGCTTGTGTGGTTGCTAAAAGTTCTCCTACAAAAAGTGGAAGAAGAAACTAGAGGATTATCTATGCTGGACTTGATTCTAACTTATAGAGATGACTTGGTGAAATAAGTGACAGTAAGGAGAACTCTGGGGGCAAGTGACCATGTTATAGAGGAGTTCTTTATTTCAAAGTAAGAAAAAAATGGAATGTTGCTCCATGTGTATGCTGAATTTTAGGAAAGCCAACTTTAATAACCTCAGAACAATGGTAAGTAAGTTCACATGGCAGAAGATCTTAACAAGAAAAGTAATCCAAGATGGGCAAGAGTTTTTTTTTTTAAAAAAGGAATTCTAATGGCACAACTATAAACAATTCCAGCAAGAAAGAAAGATGGATGACAGTAAAACAACAACAGTGTAGCTTCAAAAAAAGCTTCGAGGACATGAAAACAAAAAAGGATACATATAGGAAATAGAAGGAAGGACGGGCCACAGAGTAGGAGTACAGACAGGTAACAAAGAATCGTAGGGATGGCACTTGGAAGGCAAAGCTGAGAATGAGCTGATGTTAGCAAGAGATGCTAAAACTAACAAAAAAAATTCTTCATGTATGTTCATAGCAAAAAACAGATAAAAGTAATAGTTGCTCAGCACTGGTTAATCCTCATCTTGGGTATCATGTCCAGTTCTGGAAACCACACTTCAAGAAGGATGCTGACAAACTGGTACAAGTACAGTAGACAGCAACAAGGATGATCAGGGGACTGGAAACTAAGCCTTTTAAGAAAAGACAGAGCGAACTGGGCATGTTTAGTCGGACTTTGGTTGAATATTAGGAAATACTTTATAATTGTTAGAGGAGCAATACAATGGAACCAATTACTAGAGGTGGTGGTGAGCAATTTTAGAAGTAATCAAGAAAAATGTATTCTCGAAGGCTTTCATGTCCGAGATCCAATAGTTGTTGTAGGTTTTTTGGGCTGTTTGGTCGTGTTCTGGAGGTTTTTCTTCCTAATGTTTTGCCAGTTTCTGTGGCTGGCATCTTCAGAAGATAGGCGTTAGAACTCTGTCTGTGTTTTAACATGGGACGGGAACACAGACAGAGTTCTAACGCCTATCTTCTGAAGATGCCAGCCACAGAAACTGGCAAAACATTAGGAAGAAAAACCTCCAGAACATGGCCAATCAGTCCGAAAAACCTACAACAAACAATCAAGAGAAGGTTAGGCAAGTATCTGTCAGGTATACTTTGAATTGGATTCCTGCACTGAACAAGGGGCTGGACTTGATGACCTTATATGCCCATCAAACTCCATTATTTTATGACTGTATGAAAGCTGTGGAGAAAGATAAACTGAGGAGATAGGAAGAAAATCAGGCACTATACAGTATTTGCAAAAACTGAAAATGTATAATAAAATCTAGTTTCTCCTAAACTCGTTATGTTTTTATGTTGTAAGCTGCCTAGAGTGGTCAAAATGGCTAGATAGGTGGGATATAAATACAATGAATTAAAAAAATAAATACATAAAATATTTCATTTTATCTATTTAAAATATTTTTACCATGTCTTTCTCCTAAAAAGCACCGAAGGCAGCTAGATTGCTATATACAGTAATTGGATGAATAATATTCAAATTATTTGAGTGAAACCGCTAACTTCTCTCAACATAACTATTATCAATGTATCATCTTTACTAATTTGAAATAAAACATTACTTTAGTTCTATAAATTATGAGCACAAAAGTTTGTATCATTTTTAAAAACTGCTCACTTCAAATGTCTTCTCCTTTTCCTCTTCTTCATCAGCATCATCTACTCCACAATGACAGCTCTTTTCTCATTTGAAAGAAAAAGGATCAGATGAATTAAACATCAAAGTGACTTTTAAATCAATATCTAGAACAACAATGTGGACATTTTTCTGATCATCTTCATTTTTACACACTAACAACACAAAGCAAATTCATACATAAATACCCATTATATATATAGGTCATTTAAGCTTATTAACACACTCTCCCTTCCTTTGCCACATGCACATACACACAGGCTAACACATACAGAGTTTTACACCCCTCCTTATTTTCAGGAGTACACCTATCCCATGTATGGAAAGATAACACAAATTGCTGGAATTTCTAACAAGTAGGTAAGAGGGGAACTATTTATTCAGAAAAGGAGTTCAGAAGAGGAATTGCCTCACTCTCTGCCAATCCTTGCTAGAAATTCCAGAGAATGTTTCTTCTCTCACTCCACTAACTAGCCACAGGGTACTGTTTTTGTTGCTGTTATGTGCCATCAAGTCAGAACTGATTTATAGTTCATGGAGGTATAGGGGTTTCAAGCTAAGTGAGGTATTTAAGGAATGTTTTACCAGTTTGATACACACAGACACACACTGTGAGTTTCCATGGCAAAGTTGCAGAATTGAACCCAAGTTTCCTAGGTCCTAGTCTATTACTTTCTCCAAAACACCACACTGGGTACCTTTAAAGTACTGTACCAGTGCACCACTAATTGGGGTGAGATATACCAAAGAAAGAGTGACAGATTATTGAAAGAAATGCCCTCTGTGGGAGCATAGCATGTAGGGGGAGAGGTTAAAATGTTTTTCTTCTTTTTTGTGGGGGATATTTAATATTATTTATAAGTATTACATTTTACTTTCCTGTTACATGTTTTGTTATAGCCTTTGAATTTTGTATTAATTTTTATATTACAATATTTTTAAATGCTGTATGCCTAGTCTAAGCAACCATTTTGTATTAGCTCTGCATGTTAAGTATTAACCCTGAACTTCAAACACAGTTAAATTTACTGGGTAGGCACTCCTGGAAGCACTTTCAGTTAAATGAGACAGACAGAAATCAAAATAAAAATTTTCACCTGTACATCCCTAACAACCAACTTGGATCTTGGCCTCTCTGTTTGTGTCAGATTAAATTAAAATCTCCACCAATGCAAAGTAAATGCCTTAACAGCTTAAAAAGCCAACAGTATCTTCTACCAACTATCACTCAGGGTTCAGTTTCAATTAGAATCTTCTTCAGTATTCTCTGAACGCTACGCTAATCGCCTTTCACAGGATTAATTCCATAGGGACATGCATATCAAAGTCAAATAACACAATCCTAGCAAATCTCAGAACAAAAACAAAAAAGTAATTTTTATAACTCGGATCCAAATGCATTTTTAGCAACCCTTCTGGCTGGAGGCATTTACTCTGAGGAAGCACATCATCTAATTAGTAACACTGCCAGACTTAATACAGTCTAATAAGTACAGTGGTAATACCTGAAAGAGCCCCAGGAAAGCATAACAACAAAGCCCCATCTTTCTCCCTCATTATACAATACCACACCAAACCACTACGGGGAACTAGAATTGCTGGTGTATCCCCCTCTCTATTCTAATCAGTCAAAGACTGCAGGCTTCATATGGATGGTCCTTATGAAAAATGTGACTAAGGGCTGAAGGGGAATATGGATATATGCCATGAGAGTAGTAGGAGAAAATGGGGTTCCGTCATCCCCAAGGAGATCCTCATATCTATGCTACGCCTAAGGGGGGCTGTACTGAGTTTCAGTTTAACTATTTCAAACAGAGATTTAGCCTGGATAGCTCCGTGGTTTAGGTATCCAACTGCAGAGCCAGAGGTTGGAATTTCCATTATCCATTGTACCTCCTGCAAGTAGAACTAGCCTGTGTGGTCTTAGGCAAGCTACACAGTCCTAGGGCACCCCCCAGAAGAAGGGAATGGTAAATCACTTTTGACATTCTCTACCTGGAAAAGCCTGCAAGGATCACCATAAGTCAGAATTGAGTTGATGGCACATTATTATTACTGTATTTATTATTAGCAAAATTGTAACTTTATAATTCTAAATGATTTTTAAAAAACTAAATCAAAATACAGGATACACTTTTAAATTAGATACACACCTTTGCCATCATTGCTGAATATGCAGTATATAACGGGTCATTTTCCAGTTTGCTGTGGGGAAGTTGAAATAGTATTCAGATTGTTTCAGAAAAATGACTTTGTAAGTGTTAAAGAGGACTTGAAAGTTGATGAACTGCAGTTTCAGGTATCATGAAAGCAGAGAGCCTTTCATCTTGAAATTTCCTGATACCATCTAACAAGGTTATTAGACTAAAAGCTATAGTAAATTCTCTGATAAAATATATTTACCCTCTGCATTCACAACAGAATTATTTTTTTACCTTATTGGGCCTTCAAAATGCTCAAAACCAGCCAGAGATTCTAGCCATGTAATTTCTATAGAACTGATTATTATTCCTATCATATCAGATACAAAATCTTTTCTTCACAAAATTGAAAAGTTTTGTTAATTCCAAATATTTCCTCAATGTCCCCTTAATAGGATTTTAGGAAAAGTGCAATCTCAATCTCTATCTTCTTCTCCTTATTCTTCAATATTTTTAAATACCATATAAAAATAAAACAATCACACACACACCTATAAAACACCATCTGGAAAGAATATTTAAAAAAATGACCATAATAAATTTTCACATAATTCAGAGAGTAGGGGGAAAAAAACTATTTCCCCTTCTTGTTGTACTTAATACATATATCCTACTATATTCAATATATTACTGTCTTTAAACTGCTATGCTTTAGAAGTCAGTGTAACAGAACCTCATTTAAGAGAAATAGTTGACTAGAGGAATTCTCCACCTGCTACAAACAGGCTTTCTCATGAAATTGCTTTCTCATGAAAAGGGAAGGTCAAGGGAAAAATACATATGTCTCCACTTTCACTGGAGAAGGGAAAAGATAAAAAAAACAAAAACAAAGGGAAGCAAAACTCTAGTTTACACTTAACATAACAGCAGGATGGTAACTTTTGGCACTTCCCTGAGAATGAACTTTTCTCTATGTATACAATGTATCCATAAGGATGTGAGAAGGCACCTCTATTAACAAAATGATTCTATTTCTCGAGCTTGTTGTGATTTGCTACCTATAAAGGTAATGCTCTTCTTTTCTACTGTTGAGTTGACATGATTTGAGTCTAGGAAGACTCCTGTCACCTCCTTTTCTGAAGAAAATATTATCATTCAATGAACCCTATAAAACATAAAATCCAAAGTTCTTGTGTTGGGCTGTTTTAATTCTCTCTCTCCCTCCCTCCCTCCCCCTCTCTCTCTAGGTACCCAAAAGAGTTGGATCCTGCCAGAGTAAAATGCACTTGTATTTTTACAAGACTGTCATCTCTAGCATATAACAAATATTGAGTCCACTTACCTTCTTTCAGTGAGAGCGTTCCTACTAAAGTGAAGAATGATCTGGTGAAGAGGATCAGGATGTTTTTCAATCTCTTCCTCCTCCTCCTCATCTTTTTCTGGAGGGGTCTGTCCAAGAATTATATTGGAAAAGTTTTATCAGCAAAATGTATGTACAAATAAAAAAATGAAACAAAATGTAACTCTTAGAAAACATTTTATATTTTACTATTAGAGTCAACATTATTTTCTCAATATCCATATATTCAGGATCTTCACAGAGAACACGTCATAGTAGTGTTTGTAAATATGTTCACAATGATTTAAACAGAACTACTAAGGGAAGATGTCAAGGAATCTGGTATCTTAAGCAGATTATGGACCTGATTCCTTCTGGCAGGTTGAACAACAAAGTTAGACAGTTGCACACCTGACACTATTGTATGTGTAGGGGGAACCTTCCTATCAGAGTCTCTAGTGTCTCACAATTCTAAGTCAGTGATAAAAGTAGATAGCAGAGGTGATCCTTCTGCAGTCCAAAATTTCAGAATGTTGAACTCCAAGACTTGGAAATACTGAGTTGCCTGCGGGTAATTTCCAACTCTGTCTCTTGACAGAACTCACATATAACCTATTGCAGAAGAGAGATAAGCTTCTGCTTAGGCAGTCCCCCCACCTCTGTAAAATTAAAGGAGGTAGGTAACTAAGACATATGCATGATCTCTTCTGTTTTCTTCCTGTCCCAGCACATGGATTTATATGCAACTACACTCAGAACCTCTGCTACAGAATGCAACTGTAAAAACTCTACTACATGAATGTTAAAGTATTAAGTTTAATCATTAAATTTCTCTTACAAACCACTTGTAACTATAGCAAAACCAAACTCTCTCCATCACACAAATCATATCCCTAAAATAACATCTTAATATTCTCACCTAAATTCTGCTCTAATGTGATGACATGGGTTCCAGTTTATGAAAGTGCATGGCATATTATGGGTGTTAGTCTAAAAGATGCAACAAGATTTTTAAAAATGATTTTTAACTAAGCAACCAACTCCGGTCTGTAATCAGGGTAGGGCAACTAAGGCTTTGCTACAGGGCATCAACTTTTAGAGAGCTCTGAAACGTAGAAGTGAGATCTCTAATGGAGAGAGTTGTGAAAATCAATGGCAGCTGTTACTGGCCCTATATTCTTTTTCAGAAAACAGAAAAATTATCTGTCTTTGTGATGGTGGTGGGAGACACACAGCATTCTCTTATTTTTTCAAAATTGCTTGCCATGTCTCTGAAGAGAACAATTCTAACTTTTGCCTTCTCATTCCTTCCTTTTCCCTTATACAGAATTTGACTTTACAAAACGAGAAAAATAAATATTGCTAAAAGTTAGAAATTAAATTGTGACTGACTTTTTGCAATATAGGGGACATAACACTTTTCCTGTCTGTTTAATTTACTGTATTCACATCCAGTGGGCATAACATAGATAAGAATGCAAAGATCTACTGCAGCTGAGTGTTGATTTGCCATTTTCCCAAGGGAACACTTTGGAAAAAAAAACTATTTGAATGTAATCAACAGTTCATTTAAGCATGATTTCATTACCATCTGTTCAATGTTTTTAAAAGTGTTTGAAGCCTCTTTATGACTGAAAGTGTAGGTATCAATTGCTTAACTAAAAGGAGAACTATAATACAAGGGCAGTGACTAAAAACATTAGTGGTATTGTATTCCAGTCCAATTAACACATTTTATTCAAAGCACCTTTTTGCCAACAAAAACAATAGTCAAGGGGTAGTTTGCTACTAATGGGAAAGTATAATGAAAAATAATGGAGTTAAAACTGATGCCCATCGCAAGATTGTGCATGGCAAATGTGCATTCAGCTATAACAGCTTCATCTGCCAAATACATGGCTGCTTAAAACCTTTCTTCTTGGAAACTGGAAGAATGCACTAAGGACATCTAAACAATATTTACTGTGTACACTACCCAGTCAGTTCTGAGTTACGGTAATACTTTCCAGGGTTTTCTAGTCACAAAATACTCAGAAGTGGTTTACTATTCTCTTTATTTTGGGGTGCCCTGGAACTCTGTAACTTGCCCAAGCTTACACAGTGTTGTTCATCTCCTGGAAGGCCCAGTGGGGAACTGAACTTTCAAACTCTAGCTTGGCAGCCAATTCACTGAGTTCTCTAGCCAGACAGCAAAGTCATTTACACCTCTGAAAATTATGATATATTTCCCCTCTAAACACTTTCTCCAGTAAGAAAAGTGAAAAAGGAACACTGGTTACAGAAAATATATAGAAGAAATTACAAATGGGTGATGATGTTGTGTCGACCTATGGATGTTTGTAGGGGCAACAAGAGTTTGTGCATAAGGGAATTCCAAATATATTTATTACACAAGCAGATATACTGGCTGTTAATCAGGTCCAACTTTTAGGTGTAAGAGTACACTAAGCAAAATGCCTGTGGGCATGTGGACTGAACCGCCTACAGATATATGGCCTATGGACCGGATTACTGATTGGTGGAGTGACCTGCCTATGGAATGGCATTGAGGAAATCTTTGATTTGTTTCATCCACCACACAATGGACTGTTTCCTGTTGGCAAAAAGGGCTGAGAATTTATTCCAGCCCAGACTTTTGCATGACGGCAAGAGCAAAACAAGACAGATACACAATTACTGTGGCAACAAGGCACTGGCTGAGCCTTGTTGGAACAGTATGGACAGGCTACAAGGTTGGATACTTTCAGTGGCTCTAGGTTCAAAGTGTAGCCCGATAAGATGGTACGTTGTGTGCTGTAGGACAAAGGAATGATTTTACTTTCTGGGAATTAGCAAAAGTGGTGCAACAAACTTTTTCTCCCAACTTGCCATCTACCAACACAGAACTCAATTTCACGGGTAAAAGTAAAGAAGTCAACCAGAATGCAGGAAAATTAGAGGCATATGTACGTAATTTTTACTTTTGCATATTTTGACTGCTTTGGGGGCTTTGGGTCTTAGTTTGCCTTGATTCTGAGAGAAGCTTCAGTTTTTACAATGGGTTATATTACACCTTCTAGGAGATTCTACACCAACCTTATACAGAGAGAGAGGGAGATTTTACTATATTATTTTAATTTTTCTTCTTCTGATTTTCTGGATCAATTCTCCTGCACGTTCCCCTGAGTCTTCAGGAATCTGTTCTTTAGAACAGATACCTCTATGTCTTTCTTTCTCAGTTTTTAGGCCAAACAGGTGGAACGTAGTGAGCTTCAACCAGAGGGCTGGTGGAATGCTAGAAGTAAATGTAGTGTTTTATAAAGGGCTAACTGTGGTTGATAGTGCATAATTTTAATTTCATTTGATATTTTAATAGAGATTGATTTACTTTGCACTTTTCATTTAGTCATTCAATTTTACTGTGTTAGAAATTCACAGAATTTCTTTTATATGGTGCCTTCATTTTGTTGATCTTATTCTGTTTACCCCCTATAATTAATATAGGTTGTTTTACTTTGCACTTTTCATTTAGTCATTCCATTTTACTGTGTTAGAAATTCACAGAATTTCTTTTATATGGTGCCTTCATTTTGTTTATCACATTCTCTGTTTACCTCTTGTAATTAAAATAACTGCAAATTAATTGCACCTGTGGATAGCCTCAGATCACCTCTGGTTATACCTTTCATTCACTGAGGCAAATAAAGCACCTCATTTTTACTGGCCAGGATCCCAATAATGCAATTAATTGCACCTGTGGATAGCCTCAGATCATCTCTGGTTACACCTTTCACCCACTGAGGCAAATAATTTTTACTGTCCAGGATCCCAGGAATGTTTGCATAAGGTCTGTATAAATTGCCATGGCTAACTGTGGCTAAATGATGAGGGCAAGGGCATGTCCAAGTCATATGCCTAGTCATATGGTGATTGCCATGGCTAATTGTGGCTAACTGATGAGGGCAAGGGCATGTCCAAGCCTAGTCATAGGGTGAACACTCCAATGCTAGAGGAATTCAAGAGAAAATTAGACAATCATCTGTCAGGTCTGCTTTGTTTTGGATTCCTGCATTGAGCAGGAGGTTGGACTTGATGGACTTTTATAGATCGTTTTTCTCAATTATTTTATGATTTTATGTGCCTGGTTACGCAATTAAGATGTGCCCTGCCACCTTGTCAAGTAGCTGCAATTGGCTGTGGCAAATTAGACAAATCTTACCAAACACGAGTAGGTTTCAAGCCACTGTGTTGTAGTAGTGCACATTACTTGCACGAATTGTGTTAAATATCACTATGCAGTAGCCTCCCCCCCCTCCAGAAAAATTCCTGCAGATACTTTTGAGTGGTCCATCTGCAAAATGTGAATAAATGAGGCACTGTAAATCTACATGAAATACTTGCTGCAGAAGAAGCCTTTATCAATTATCACTGCAATATTTAATGATTTATATATTTGCAGTTTAAAAGGTAAAGAATCTTATAAAACCGTGAAACAGTCCTTATAACTGAAGTGAATCTATCACTTCCTTATCTTCCCTGACTGGCACTACTTTCACAAAAAGAAAAGCTCTGTTAATGACACTTGGGAAAAACTAACCATTTCACACATACTTAGAAATCAAATAATAATCAAATTTCTGTACCCCTTACAGTATCAGTTAAAACTGAGATATTTAAAACTGCTTGAAAATTAACTACTCAATGACAATTAAAGAAAATACTTTTCTTCGTCAGAATCAGCCTCTACAAAAGACAAGAAGAAATAAATAATTCTCCCACTGTTGATATGTAAGAACACAGTTCACATGTATTTACAGTTCATTTCAATTCTACTAAACATAGCAAGCAAAAAAGCAACATTCTTTTCTAAAAGCTTGAAAGGCTAAAGTAAAGGATGGATTATGTAATAGCCAAAATTCTAAAACGCAAAGAAGTATTAGTTGTGTTAAGGCTTCAGATGAATTTTAATGAAAACACCGGAATAGTTAAGCTGAACAAAGAACAATCATCCGTTTGTTGGGCTCTAGTTCTAAAAAAAATTAATGACATATAATTTATATGAAACCATAAGCCACAGCTCTGCCCACGCGCATACTGCATTTAACGCCTATACTGCATATCTATGATTTATGTAGCAGATGAAAAATTTCCATTTAATGAATACAAGAACTATGGCAGAGAAAAAAGCAATACCTGTTTTACTATATATATATCTTGTAAAGCAGGTATTGCTTTTTCTGTGCTATAGTATATATCTATATGGAGTACAGTACATAATGTTGATTAATGTGGGCATTTGAAACCACACTCTGTTATATCTATACTTACAGCCAAATCTTGAACTAGCTTCTCCTCAAAGGAATATTCCTCTGTTTCTATCCAATATTTCTGATAACCATGGAGGAACAGGTTAATAGAGCGATGCCTGAGGGGCATGAAAGTGAGATCAAGAGGGATAAACAGAATGCAGTATAAAAGCCTGGGTGGTTAATAATTAGTAAGCATATGGATTTTGTACAATTTTGTTCCTCTGATTGGTCAGTATATTTTAAAATGAAACACAGCAAGCAATAATCACCAGCTGACAGATCACAAAGGCAACCCATCCAGGGCTACTTGCTTTACTGGCATATGCAACAGTTACCATATTTTTTTTCATTTTGCACATTGAGAGAAAAAGCATTCTTCTGGCAAACAGAGAAAAAAATCTCAAAAAGTACACAAAATATGGGACCGTAAAAAAAAACACCTTACAATTTCATTGTGAGATCCTCTTTCCATCTCTCTCTGCAATGTGATATACTAAATGAGGGCAAACCAAGCCAAGATTCACATCCCTACCTTTTCTATTGCAGAGAGGATGGGAACTGAAACTCCTGCAATACATGCTTTCCCTCCTACTACATTCCAAAAGGAAAGAAACCTCATAGATGCACAGCACTTTGCTAATAGTGACATTTATAAAGGGCTCCCTTTGGTGGCAGCCTTAGCACATAATTTACTAGCTGGCAGAATGGAAGCTAGTTTTACATTTCCCGGATTTAAACAGCATTGAAAAATCAAACAAATATTTCAATTTGACTTCACATTTCAAGAGTTTTTAAACATCCTCTTGAGTAAAAGAGCAATTTAAATGGATTCTGTCAAGCCTTGTATTGCATTCAGGTTGCAATCTTAGAACTTCTTACTATAGTGCATGTCCAACAGAACATTAGTGGGACTTAAATAGTGTAGGTTCACACTCTCAGATTCATATCTCCAATTATGATTCTACTTCAGCTCTGTAAGTTTCAACCAACCTCTCTTTACTGGGGAAGGAGGCACTGAGGAGATGACCTAAAAGCATCCCCTCTCCACACTTTCAGTCACAATACCTAGAATGTACCATTCTTTCTATAGAATTCCCATCCAAATTTACACTAGTCACATTTAACTCCTGCAGCTTATATTTGCATGATGTGCACTCCCATCCACTCAACAACTGCAAAGCTAGCTAACACTGCAGTTTGGTTCATGCTAGCAGGTGGGGACAGTGTACAGATGATATAGAATGCTAAACTTCATACCTGGCGCAGACAGAAGATCTGTACCATTTCTCCAAGCACACCCATGACTACTATGGAAGTTTGTTGCATTTCCCCAGAGAGGTGGTGTTCAAATATCACTACCAGGCCTATTCACACGGAGTGCTGCCTTTTAGTCTCAAATCTACTTTGCCCCACATCCACCCACCTTTCCTTTTATATAAGCATTCTATAAAATTATTAACTCTTGCATCTTATGAACTATAACGGCAAGGGTTATGAGATCAGCAGCATCCCACTTCTTAAGATTAAGAGCCACCGCTTGGGGTGGACACTGGTGATATCATAGAGGTGGGCAGAGAAGGGCTAAGGGAGTTGCAGAACTATTTCTGGCCTAACTGACTGTAACAGCATATAGAAAAGAAATCTGCATACAGTATATGGGTCAAAGGCCGAAATGAAACTGTGCTAATCAGATAACTTGGCAACTGAGAGTTGGACAGAGGGACAGCTGGGACAGCTGAGCAGGCAGAAAAATGCAGCCAGTAGCTGTCACTACTCCTGGTATAACTTTCATACTGTGCAGTCTTATGAACCATAGACATGAGGTGTGTGGAAACTTCCCAGGCCCTGCACAGCTTCTGGCAATCACCACCAGTCCATGAAGAATCTTTTCCCAGCTGGGAAGAGGTGGGGACAGGCACACAAGGTTTAAAGGCTTCCCTCCCCATACATAAATTAAACTTTATTTTCCTACAATATTATCCTGAGATTTGTCTCCCTGACCAGATACCTGGGAAAACATAGGAGCTCCCTGACTTTTCAGTTGTCTCTTTGAGACCTGACAACCCTAAACTGTTTCTAGGCATTTGGTCCCAATAATTTATAACAGTTCCCAGCTATAAACAAAAAACATTCTAAGCCTCTCTCCCACAGTGTTAAAAATGCAATGAGAGAATTGTAGAGTTCCCCACAGAAACAACCAAGTCCCCTTAGTGGCTGCATTATAGGAATCAGCTTTGTGGTAACATCTCAGTAAATTCATGTAGGGAAAAACCCCAAAGCTGCATTACTTGTTTTTAAATGTGAGGCCAATTATTTTAAATCTATAGAAAGAGTTCATGATATTGTTTGGTCATTATACGACAGACAATTAAGGCAACTGTCGCTGTTTGTACTTTCACTCATCTCAAACTACTGCTCCCCCCTGTTCTCAGGTTCAGTTAGAGCTCAGAATAACAATGCACGGATCTGACAAAGAGGATTGCTGTTTATTTACAAAAACAAGTTTTGCTGAAAATGTACACTGAAGAAAAATTAAAAATAATACAGAAACTACTGTATTAAAAGAAACATAATCTAAGTATTATATAGTCACATTTTTTTTAAATTGCGGTAACAGGAAATACAGTTTTAAAAATCACTGTTGTGTTTAGGAAACACACAGCATACCAAGTGTCAAACTGCATTAAGAAATTACATAATTAGTTAATTATCTCTTTATTGCCAGCTTGCATATGGTATTACATACTCATTTGGAAGACTGACCAATCAGAGTCCCATATGAAATTGTACAAACTCATTGTATGATGTCATCTCATTGCTAAGGAGGACTGTGTGCATAAGGAAGAGGCTCTCCATTACATTACCGTTAATGTGAGTATGAGCCTGTCATACTGAGTTTTTTCATGTATTGTTTCCAGCCATACACGTTGAAAGGTGCTCAGGAAGAAATTGCTATTTTTGTGTCTGAAGAAAAGCATATAGATTTTGACTAACAATACACAAATTGGGCAAAGATTACCTTAACTTTTAAATTATGCAAAAATCAAAATTTTAGAGCTCTGGAGTCCAAACATGCTCACTGTAGACACCTGAGGGCTCCATCTACACTTCTGTCTATTCCCAAAATATTTTTATACAAGCTTTTTTTGGTTGGAATCCTCTAACAGCATAAAATAAAAAATAAGATGTGGTTTGATAGCAGTGCTAAGAGGCCCAAAATATGGCAAAATCACATCTTTTGCCCCCTAGAGGGCACAATATTTATTTTTTAAAAAATTGGGGTGCTCATGCTACAGTGCCCGGACTGCATTTAGGCTGCAGAGTTGTCCATCATTGCTATATAGTCATAATAATATTTTAATTATATTTTATTTTTAGTCTCCTTTGTTGTTAAGTGAAATTCTATTCTACAAATGTAAAATCCATATGTATATCACATAAACATTTGTGCATGCACATAAATACATTCTATAGTTATATCATAGCAAATACGGTTTGTAGTACAGCTGATGCAGAAGCAGAGATCTCACATTGTCATGAAGCCTAGGTACAAATAAATTCACATACAATGGGTAGCAATGAAAATCCTACAAAAGTGTATGATTTGTGCTCAAATTTGTTACTATTAGTAGATAATATTAGTGTTTTTCATTTTAAAAATACTGTCTAAATGTTAATATAAATGACACAGCAAGAGTGAAAGAATAACCTTAGTTATATCAAACTCTTAGCTAACAAAAATGAAAACAGAAAACTTAAAAAATATTGTGGCACCTCAGATAATGGCTTAAATTCTAAGGTAAGTTCAATTATGGAAATCTACAAAATTTCATAAAAATAAGTTTCTTCCCCCTACCCTTCTAAAGTCCTCTGAACTACTGGGAGTGTCTCTTGAACAATACTCTGAGTTTGTTTAGGGGGCAAAGAGACATGGCCACTGCCTTTCATGATCATGGTAAATCCCCTGCAAACAAACATCTAAATTGTTTTTGTGTACATTTTGTATATCTGAAATCTTCCTTCATTTGAGTGGTATAAAATCATCCTAAACATTGCTTTTGTTCTCTATAAACTTCCTTAAATTGATGTCTTCTAGGAGCCAATCTCAATTTGTCCTGATTCTACTGCTGCCATATATATAGCTCCATGACCCATCACCACCTGTGAGAAGGGTCTGGGCATTTTTTCCACAGACAGACCCAGTGGTTCTCTTCCTTTCTTTGCTTCATGAATAGGCTGGGTTTTATCCTTGTACAGGCAGCCCTGGGAAACGTTTATGAGAATCAGGCATGAAGTTTCCATTGTAAGTGACAGCATTATCATAACATCTGCCTCACTGAGAAACGGGCAAAGAAGAGGGCAGGAGTCTGTTTAGGAAGGGAAGGAGTGTGCCAAAACATCTACAAAACTCTCATTGTATGTTTACATGTTTATACAAAATGAGATGCTTCAGATACATACATTAAAAAGTAAGTCTGCAAGCTCAGAGTTAATAAATCTTCTTGGATTGCAATGTTAAACTATCACATTGCAATAACTTCTTGGATTGCAATGTTAAACTATCACACTGCAATAAATCATAGAAGCACAAAATAATGGAGTTGGAAGGAGTTTAGAATCACAAAATAATGGAGTTGGAAGGAGTTAATGAGACCATTGAGTCCAACCCCCAGCTCAATATAGGAATCCAAGCTGTCTAGCTTTCTTTTGAATGCCTCTAGTGTTTTATCTTCATTACCTGCAATACTTGGAATATTAAAGATATGATCTACATTTTCACATCTGTAGTTAAGAACAAGTAGGTAATCTTCTGTGCAAAGAGAAGATGTATAGGGAATACCCACAATTATTAATAACTGGCACAGAGAGGTATATCTAAATACTCAACTAAGGCCCACAAGCAAAAGGGAAGGGTGATCTGTTTCCTAAATGTCTGAATATATTTGGAGGCTGTCCTAAAGCAAAATGATGAAAAATGATATAACCTTAACCAATACCAAAATAAAACTTAACTTACCAGACATACAATGTCTCTTAGTATTCAGAAACAAATGAAAAAGTAATGAAACTGAATAGAAACATATTTTTCACATATTTACATGAGGATAGAATGAATTCGATACTAGCATGCAAATACCAAAATGCTGTTAATTGAGAACTGAATTACTTCAAAAAGTGAATCTTAGATCATATGTACAATTTACTTCTATTATGACACAAAATGATATAATCATCAGCTAGTATAAATTACTGTGCATGAACACTTCAAATATGGGCTAGCCAACTAGACTGAATTTTGAGTAGTATTTCACAGAAAACATGTGAAGTTAAGAATTTCCACTGTGCTGAAATACAAGAGCAAAACTGTCCTATAAAATGACATATAAAAATGTGTACCTTGGCAGATTATACAACGGAGCCATTCTAAAACAAGCAACAACTGCTCTTTTACGCTGTTTTGACAACAGTTTGTGCCAAACCGCTTTCTTTGATCTTAATGGCTGCTCAACCTATGGGAAACACCAATATGAATGAAATATTTGGTTTAAGCTGATACCTGTTTGTAAGTCTAAGGTGAAATGCATACATGATTTGATATTTTATTTAATGAATTAATTAAGGCCTCAAAGTGACTTGCAAGTATTAAAATATTGTTACATTAAATTATTAAAATAAGATGACAGAATTAAAAAGAGAACATGAAAAATATTAGCCATACAGTAGATAGAAAGTTGAATCAATCCAAGCGCTTAACAAGAGAGAAGATTAGATATCTCAGTCTTTCATGACAAATGCTCTGCATAAACAGCTCATGGATTTTCTGTCGTGTCAATGCATGCTTATTGTTTAAATAGTCCAAGCTTTCTAGGGCAATATAATTTGCCATCTTTGTCAAGGAAGGCAAGAGATCAACTAAAACAACGCTAACCTTGAGATGTCGGATCTGGCTACAGTGACACATGCCTTAGTTACATCCTGTTTGGATTACTGTAACACGCTCTATGTGAGGCTGCCTTTGAAGATGGTTCGGAAACTTCAGTCGGTGCAAAACTCTGCAGACAGACTACTGACTGGCGCCAGCTACAGGGAGCATATAACACACCTGTTACAAGAACTGCAGTGGCTACCAATCTATTTCCAAGCCCAATTCAAAGTGCTGGTCATTACCTATAAAACCCTATACAGCGTGGGTCCAGGCTACCTGAAGGACCATATCTTCCTATATGTGCCTTCTCGGCAATTAAGATCAGCACAGGAGGCCCTCCTCTCGGTCCCATTGCCAGCACAAGCACAGCTGATGGGGACATGGGAGAGGGCCTTCTTGGCGGCAGTTCCCAGGCTATGCCAGACTATGGACACTCTCCCTTGGGAGATCAGGATGGCCCCTTCCCTTTTATTGTTTTGAAAAAAGCTAAAGACCCATCTCTTCAGGCACGGTTTTAACAATTATAACTAAATCCCTGCACCCCATTTTAGCAGATAATTTTAATCTTTTTATGTTGTCATGTTTTAATCTTTTAATTGTATTTTAAATCATATATTGTTTAATTTATCTTTTAATATTTAACTTATTTTGTTTTTAAATTGTGTGAATTTTAATGCTGTGAGCCGCTTTGTGTCCCTTGTTGGAAGAAATGCAGCATGTAAATAAATTAATAATAAAATTAATAATAACCTTAAATACAACAAGGTACAATCAAAACCAGCTGGGTAAATGTGAAACCCGAAGCGAGGCTATAGAAGTACTCGCCGGAGTGTCGTCCTCTGTTAAGAGAGAGAAGGAAACTCAGACAGCGCCTATGACTTCTCACGTCGCGTTCAGACACCAGGGGGTAGACACAGGGGATTTGGAACAGGGTATAAAGAAGATGTCTGTAGCTACCCAGACCAAGACAGAAAAGGCGGGAACCCGGATGGAAGAGCGACCATTGGTAGAGGCGGGGCATGGAGAGTTGAGGGAGGAGAAAGATAAGATACCCGGGGGTTGGGAATTAATCTGGGTAGAGGATCCCTGGACAGGGAGGAGTGAAAAGGTTAGGGTGCCTCGGGGAGAAGCTGACTACCGAAGAAGAGGTTTGCCCCCCAGACAATCTTACTGGGGTGAAACAGAGGCTAGAGAGTGGAGGTGGGGTTTGAGGGAGGAAAAGGAGAAGGTAGAGAGAGAGGAGAGGGAAATGAGAGCATGGCATCTGGAGGAGGCTCGCCGGAGGAGGTATTCACCAGACCCTGGGACCCCTATTCCGAGACAGCCGACCCCTTCGACCTGGAGAGGGGAGACGAGGAGACCTTACCCTTAATTGAGGTGGACATTGAAATGAAAGGACCGGGTGAAGCTAACCCGTTCACCAAGGGACCTTGGTATGACCCAACTTTCAACTCTTTTTTTACAAGATGCATGGACACCCTCGTTTGACCCGTTGGCAGTGAGAGAAAAGAACACTGACCAGTTTAATGTTGATACTTCTTTATTTGATGTTCCAATAAACCCTAGTTTTGTTTTTCAAGATCATGCGCCTCCGGTGTTTGTGTCTGGCAAGCCTGAGATAACCACTAATCCCTCACAGTAAGTCTTCAGACCAAACTCAGGCAAATTAACATTAAAGAGCCAGTACCCCACACTGGCCAGTAGTATATAAAGGCAACCTGCCAAGTTTACCCAGCTTACACAACAATGGGTTCCACCAAGCACTAAAGGTGATGCCACTATCTCTGTTGAAATGTGGCTCTAGTTTTATCAAGAAAGCCTCAATAATAATTCTATCTATTTTAGCCACCTAGAGTGGTTGCAATGACCAGATAGGCAGGGTATAAAATAAATAAATAAATAAACCCCAGAATTGACTGGTTTTGGCCATTATTTGTACCCCATGCTATTGGGGCTAAAGCCCATACTTTACGCAATGTTCAACCAGTCCAGGCTGGCGTAATCTAATATATTGTGAATGTTCAGATATTCTCTCTGTAACTTCCAGATCTTCCAGTCTGGCCAATGTAAGCCTCACTAGAGAAATATGGCACTTGATAAATTCTTGGGAATCTGAGTCCCAGAGAATCTTTAACTGGATGGACTATCTGTTTGATTTTGTCAATAGGTTTGAAATGAAGCTTACGAGCCAATCTTCCTATCTTTGCTGAAACTTGTCCATAAAAAAAAGAATGACCACTCCTTTTATTTCTTCAGCCTCCTCCTCCTCCCTTTGTCTCAATTTTCTGTTGTTATAATCCAATGCCCAATGAATAATTCCTGACAGAGGTGAGAATTGAACAGGGAACTTGAATCACAGCCCAACCTCTCTTGCAACAACACATGCTTAGAAAAGATCCCATGTTCTTTTTTCAGACATGTCACTTATAAGTGTAGTTCTTCTTACCTGTTCCAGATGATAGACAGCTGCTGAGATCCTTTGTACTCGTTCCACAGTTTTCTCAGGATCAGTGGGTTCATCAGTTTTCAAGACATCTTTGTACAGATTCAACTGCCATTTTACTGCAGGGTCATCTGACTACAAATCAACACATTTGATTCAAATGTTTAAAACTATTTAGCAGACATATCTAGATCAATATTTTAGAGAAAAAAAGATAACATTTAACTGTTAGAGATTAATTCTTTACATTTGACTATGCCAGGTAGGAAATATTGGTGGTACACTGCCAGCGCATTTAGCCTTAGAAAGGAAAGGAATATACCGTATTTTTCGCTCCATAAGATGCACCTTTCCATAAGACGCACCAATTTTTTAGGAGAAGAAAACAGGAAAATATAATGTTTTCTTCGCTCCATAAGACGCACAGACTTTCAACCCCCCTGTTTTGTGGGGGAAAGTGCGCCTTATGGTGCGAAAAATACAGTACACCATTTGGAAAATCCCCCTGTATAAAAAGGCAGATATGTTCACAGCTGTGCTGGTAACAACAGACACATGCTATCCACCTGTCATTCAGACACAGAAGGGAACATTCCCCCAGCATACATCCTTGCATCACAACATATACTACATGCAAAACAATGGCACAATGCCCCAATCGATCAACAAAGTTCCCAGACATGCCTCCAGGAAAGGTTTCAAATCCTTACATTTCTAGCAACTAACTTTTTGGAGCATAATGTACAGACAGGTAGAAGGAAACACAACCCAACAGAACACTTCATATAAGGCAAAGCTAGATGGGAGTTGCAAAAGGAGCAGCAACAACTCCAGCAGCTATGACCACATTGTGAAGGGAGAGAGATGGAGCACCTGGGACACAAATCCACATAGCAAACAGAACAGTTTTCTAACAGTAAACTGGCAACTGGTATAGTCGTGCCCTGCTTAATGATTACCCTACATTATGATGGATCCACTTTACGACGATGGTCTAAATGGGGGGATTTCGCTTAGCGATGATCGGTTCCCTGCTTTGGGAACCGATTTTCGCTTTATGATGATCAAAAACAGCTGATCATTGGATTTTCAAAATGGCTGCCTGGTGCTTAAAATGGCTCCCTGCTGTGCTTAGGGACGGATTCCTCGCTATACAGGCACCGAAAATGGCCGCCGCATGGAGGATCTTCACTGGACAGTGAGTTTTTAGCCCACTGGAACACATTGAATGGTTTTCAATGTGTTTCAATGGGCTTTTAAATTTCGCTTTACGATGTTTTCGCTTAACGGCGATTTTCCTGGAACGGATTATCGTCGTTAAGCGAGGCACCACTGTACATCATAAGCTCATCTTGTCCTCACCCCAGTCATAGATGCCAGGAGCACAAGAGGCAGTAGAAGCAGCCCTAATTGGGTGGAACAGCCCACATTTTACATACAGTAGTTCCAGATTCAAGTCTAGAGTATAACCCCATGCTAAGAAAGGTGTGAAGGGCCCCTCATCCTTAGGCACACCTAAGCCAGTCAAGGTCCTATATAGGTTTAAGAAATATCTTGGCACATTCATCGACAGCACCAATCCATACAACCCCTTCTTGCCCCACTTAAACAGTAATTTGCCCAATAGGCTGGCTCTTCAGAATGAGAGCTCTGCTAGCCCGAGTGCTCACCCATCAGCAACTGCTCTGTTATAAGCCTTCTTTCCTCCCTACAAACTGCACGTCTCACTTGTGCTTCAAGAGGCCAGTTGTCTCACAGTAAAGTGTATCTAACTAGAGCAGAGAGACGAGAGACGACTAGCACCCCTGTGGTTATCACGCTCCCTGCCAGTCGTCCTCAGACCAATTGAATTCAGGTCATTTTGGGTTCCAGAAAGGAGATGCTTAGCTGTTGCTCCCAAGCAAGAAAGAAACCACTCATGTGGCAAGGTTATAGCCTCTATTTTATGCCACAAAATAGATTCTGAAAGACAGCAGACACATACAACGCCCAACAGTCACCTTATCATGACTCCTGTGTCTAAAACAGTGTTCAACAATAAAAAAAAATCTCTCCTTGTCTCATCATTGCACACAAGAATAAGGAACTGCAACATCTTTATCCTTACCAGAAAGAATGGCAAGGAGTTTCCTGACATTTAGCAAAGCTTTCCATCAGCAAGAACAATATTTTATCTAAAATTTTACATAGGACTGTCCAATTTGCACACTTTTGCTAATTGCATGAATTGCTCCCAAATACGCTTCTAACTGATTTATGTGAGGATCTGAAGCGCTAGTGGGGTGTCTGCATCTTTCTTAACAGACAGCAAGTTCTTTTATGCTTTCTGGTGTGTACTTTGCTCTCCAGTGGGAAAGGATACTAGAGATGTTTTATGCAAATTGCAAAGTACATGAGGCGAGAAAGAGCTCTTTCGTGCACTAGAAGCAAGGAAGCCTCACAGGGCTTTAAAATTCTTCATTCTGTATTTTTTTAAAAAAAATAAGGTTGAGATAGACAAAAGCAACAAGAGCAGAATTGTCAACTTAGGACTTCTCTGCATGAAGTCTACATACTAGCATGTGTGACTTGCAATTGAATGTTGGTTACTTTTATGTATACATGATGGTGGTTGTTGACATGGAAACAGCTATTTTTTTTATGTTGCCCTTCCCATTTCTTTATACCAGTTTGTGGGATGATAAAAAGTCCAACAGGGTCATAGCTATGTTCTGTATGAGTGTAGGAGTCAGTGTCACTGTGTTTTCCTTATCATGCTGACAGTCCCACCCTGTTTATGCATTTTGCTAGCACATCCTTGCTAAAGCAACAGTTTGCACAAAGTATTCCATTAGTTTATCTACCACCCCATTAGTGAATCATGTGTCCTGTCAGGGTAGTAGTGCTTCAGGTCACATCATACAGTCCCTCAACTGGTGTAACTAGAATACAGGATTGCTCTGTCAAACATTTAAAAATGTTGTCTGACATTACAACATGCTTAGGTCAATGAACTTTTCAGATTTTACCTTCTCCTGCAAATGCAAGTTATTGCGTAAATGCTCTTTGACCTCTTCCTCTGTGTCTTTCTGTAGATAAATATAAGCATATATTAAATTCTGTCATAGCAAACTTTGAAACAGCCTATCAAAATCTTCTAGTGAGGAGACAGTTTACAACAACCTTTAACTGGACTGCAATGTTTCATCAACTGATGGATGTCCTTAACTGGGACTGCTACCCTGCTTTCCAGCTTCTCCATGGAAGATCTTGAAGATCACATGGAATCCCTTCCATCATGTGAAAGCTTTACCATAGTCTCTCGAGACGGAAGGATGCCTAATCTAATCTAACCTAAATGTGAAAGCTAGTGGGGCCTTGGGAGGGGTGTGTTTTTAATTACTAAAAAGCAGTAATGTTGGTTAAATTATCCCAATTGTGGTGACTTTCACTGATTAAAATTTCCCCAAGGATTTCTCAGGAATCTTGACATTTTCAGGTGAGAAATAAGTACAGTGGTGCCTCGCAAGACGAATTTAATTCATTCTGCAGTTAATATTGTCTTGTGAAAAATTCATCTTACGAAACGCATTTTTCCATAGGAATGCATTGAAATCTAATTAATGTGTTCCTATGGGCAAAAAAAGTCAGAACAAAGTCAAATTTGGTTTACAAAGGGTTTATTAAGTGCTCTTTAAAGCCATACATATTGTGCAGATGATTTTAAAAATTTCAATCAAAAAACTTTAACTTTTTAAACATCATAGAAAAACATTTAAAAATCAGCAAACATGAGGCAGGAACAAAAAAGGGAAAACATTTGTCTTGCAAAGCACGGCCATTTGTCTTGCGAGTCATCAACCCCCATTGCCAAAACCATTCGTCTTGTGAGTTTTTTGTCCTGTGAGGCATTTGTCTTGCGAGGCACCACTGTATTTTATTTCCAAAACACTGCTGCAGCATATGATGTCACCAGCCTTACACAGCATAACATATGGATTTCAACCTATACGTCCTAACTTATAAGGTGGCGTAAGGTTCTTTCGTTCTTCTTTTTCTTTTTTTTTTGGTGGCTGATTACTTCTGCATCATTTCAGGGCTTTTATTGTGCTGTTTTGTTTGTTCTGTTTTTTTAAAAAAATACTTTGTAAGACATACTATTATGCTATAGTTGCCCTTTTTTTTTTTACAAAGTTATTTAAGCGCCCCCAAGATGGTGGCTTCCACATTTTTAAAATAAAAATTTAAAAAGGAACATAAAATTGTATGCGTACTTCGAAACACCTTTGATCAAAACCACATAAGCCATGAAGTCACCAATATATGAAAACAACCCCCAACGTGCTGGTTTTTTTTAAAGAAAATAAGTTAAATACTACTTACACAGCTGTATCTGAACTTAGCAAGAGAAATCAGTTCTTGGTCTCCAGGGGTACACATATTCAGCCCAATGGGAAGTAATTTTTTAAGTGCTGCTACAATCAGAGAAGTCTGTATTGAATATAAATCTCCTCTACGTTTTGATTTTTTGCGTTCTTGATCCTGACCTCCAGACTAGAAGAGGGAGATATATACGAAATACATTGTGCAGTTATTTAATCATTCATACGAAAATAAAAGCATTTCCTACTCATTTAACCAAATCTAAAAACTTCTATAGGAATGTTCATATCTCAATGGTTAATTTTGTTAAAAGAGAAGTGAATCAAAGAATTGCTGTGGACAATATGCAAGTAATTTAAGAAGCACTTTACAGCTGACTTTACAGAAAAACCAAACACAGACATATTTTTAGGATCAACACATCTCTATAAATACAAATACACACACATACAAATAACATTGGAAATGGATTAAAAGTTATGACAGCAAACTCTGTATTTATTAGAAATATCAGTGTTTCTAGTGTCTCTGTGAGGGCAGGATTCAGTGGTGGACATCTGCATGTGAAATGACAGAATCCCATGGAATTTGGGAAGAGGGCTAATTCCCCCTCCCCACTGCATCTTTCCATTTGTCCCCCAGATCAGCTTTGGACAGGTAGAAGATCCTCCAAGCTTATTTTCAAGCACTGCGGAATGCTCCAGGAGGAAAGACTGGGGAACAGAAAGGAAGCAGTGTTGGATTTCACTAAGTTTTATACACTTGTTTGCCATTGATCTTTATTAAAAATCTGATAACTGTAAAGTATGAGTTCAATAAAATTTTATATTTATGAGCATGTGTACTAGAACACCACTTCAATTTGCTCCATTACTGATTCAGAAATCTCATAAGGACATCTATTATACTGCTATTGGTAGCTTCAGCCACCCAAAGTGTAGAGAAAAATGAGCCCTAGGAAAGATATAGCAAATATTTTGCGCATCAACATAACAGCTGTCCTGTTCTATCCAAAATGGATAGGGTAGAAATTTCATTATAAAACTTTTTATTTAAGGCAGCAAATCAAAGCTCTGAGCAACAGCATGGCTCTTAACACGAACAAAATCATACTATGTACAAACAAAAATGCTCCTTTTTGAATTCCATGCATGGAAGAGATATCCATTGATTCTGGTGAAAATTGTGCCACACACATGAATTCAGGATTGGGCTCAGAGCATATAACCACTGCGAACAGTAAATTATTGCTAGTAAACCTTCCACATCTTTTTGTCTCTGCAGAACTTTTTATGGCCCAGAGCAGATATTTATACTAGGTCAGCACATTGATACAATAAGAGTCACTAATACTGGTAGTTTGCAAGCAATTACCACAAAATATCTATTCTAAGGGGAAAGGAAAATTCTGTACCTATGGTATATTTGGTAAATTGTTGCAAAAATTTTATTTTAATAGAAACTACCAAAACATTTACACATTCCTACAGGTTTGGCAGTTTAATGTGAAGAAAAACATGATGTGGCAGTTTTCCTCAGAGACCGACAACTCAACAATATTTTGACTCAAAGCTTTGCTTCTAGAAATGCCTTAGAAAAAGTTTTCTACAATAGCAATGAGTTAATGGCTCTAGATTTAATGACATTAATTTGTACTCTACTTTGATAGCAGACAAACAAATGCCACAATGTATCACGGGGACCCAGTGGCGTCACTAATCTCTTAATCAGGGGAGGTAACTGATGCAAAAGAAAAAGGTAAGGAAGCACTAGTTGTTCTTTCTTTCACTTCTTGGAGGACACAGTTCTCCATAAAGGGTTTCAAAGGATTTAGGTTTCGTAAGATTCAGTTTGGATGAACATGTTGTTAACATAAACATAAGATAGTTAAAAATGCACCTAAATATTAAGAAAATGCTCCATTCTGTCTCTGCCACCAAATTTCAATCTGCCTAAATTACCAATCAGGAAACTTCCTCTGGCAATTGGAAAGCCAGAGCTACATAGAACAATGCACTCTCTTGATACAAATGTAAATTAATGATTTGATCCTTGAAGACATTTGCTCAGATTCATTATGCACTAGTAGATGCCCTTCAGGGATATTAGTTCTTTCCTCTACACACTACATTACTACCCAAATCGAGAATTTAAGGATTTAAGTGCATATCTTTGCATGATAAATGGGAAAACGTCCCAATTTTTCTACTTGTGTGACCTTGTGACTAGTCATTATAGCAGTTTTGTGTTTTATAGTGTTTTCTCCAATTATTTCTGCATGTTATTTTCATATAAATGATAGCTGCAACCTTGTTGCATTAACTAAAAGGAGTAAAACTGGATGGTTGTTTGTATGAATCAGCCTGCCATGTTATGCTTCTTGTTTTTGTGTGATTAACTTCACAAAGTGTTAAGAAACTTATTTTGTGCAACTTGTGCACAACATGTGGACATTGCACTGGAGCCAGGATGTTTCAAAGGAATCTGTGTTGTCTTATCATCCATCCAATCTAGACCAGAACTAGGGTAGAATCAATATTTTCTGAGGTCCTAAGTGAAATATACCTGTACTTATTTCATCCTCTGAAATATTGTGAATGTTACAAATAAGTACAGGGAAGACAAGAAGTGGGATTGGAGATATTTCTTCTACCATGACAGAGACAGTTACCTATTTCTTTATCCATCACCGAGGTCATTCTTCTAGTCCCTTGAACCAAAAACAATCTCTTGGTTCTTAGGGGACATGAAGAAAAGTAGTAGTTCTCATCTGACCAAAAGTAGTAGTTCTCATTTGTTAATGTGATATTAGCTCCTGGGCGAGGGAACTGGTAAGAGAAACAACAGAAATTTGCTTCTTCTTCTGGGAATCTCTTAGTGTGCTTGCTAGTGGCGGCCAGATCACACACAGCCAGAGATTATGTTGCCATGTCTGATGTTTTTGCAAAATGTTGATAAGCTAGCTATGTATTACACAGTTTGATATAAAAACCACTATGTAAAAGAATAGTACTTTTTCTGGTCTGGTTTGACATACTGCAAAATCTAACTTTTTTTAAAAAATTGTCACTTATGACTTATGGTGACGATAGGGTTTTCAAGGAGTAGTTTACCATTTTGTCTCTTTAGTGAGTTTCCATGGTAGAGTGAGTCCAATACCGTTAGTTATACCACACTAGCTCCTAAGAAGTTCATCTATGAACTTGAAGTGGCTTCCAACGTATTTACTAGACTACAAGGCAGACAAGAGTGTCTCTTTGTGTGGAGTGTCAAATGTGTATACATATATGCATCCTTTTCCAGTTTTCAAATGTTTCCACTGACATTTCATTGATGAACTTCTAAACTATGATGGATTTCAGAAGAAATGCCCCCTAGCTTAGAAATAGTTGCTGAAGCAACCAGATTTTAGTCCCACATTAAATAGGTCTTCCTCATATTCTGATACTATCCTGGGGTGGCAGGCTCAACAGTTATTGCATAAACAATCAGTGTTCTGCAGTGCAGATATACGGCTTGTGTGTTTAGATGCCTTTAGTGTTCAAAAGACACCACAAGAGCAAGCACAAAGTCAGTCTTAGACAGCAAACAATAATATAATGGTCTATCTTGGTCTTTGAAATATAATTATATTTCCATTGGATCTCAACATTATCACCCAATTTATGAAGTCCACATCTGTCTTCTGAAGCTACAATTTTATTTCAAGGAGGAGAATTTTAAAAAGACATGATGTACATGTGCACAGGCTATCTAGTGCTATCTAGTGGATAGAGGAAAGAGTGATGGACTAGGACACAGAAGGCATGAATGTGAATCCCTGCTCAGCCATGGAAATTCAAGAAGCCACTCCAAGAATATCTCACTTAGTCTGAAAGCCCCAAAAGGGTTGCTTTAAGTCGTTTCCAAACAACAGCAACAATGTGCACATTATATGTCAGTGCGTTTGAAAATTGTTCTTTTTCAATATTTTTTTGTTGGGAATGATAAAATTCTTGAAATTATCTCATTTTCAATAGGCAGCAACTAATGAGTAACAACAAAAGCACAGTAATGCCTTATTATTTTCTTGTTTCAAATGTAAAACATTCCAGCACATCCATCAATATGCTGAGAGACCATTTTCTTGTCAATAGGATATTCAGAAAAAATAATTTACTTAATAGGAGGATGGTAACAGAGGCAGAAGAGAGACCTTGTTGGATTATTTTGCCCCCATGAAACCTGGAATCAGGCATGTATGGATGAGGTGTGGAAGGGTAGAAAAACAAGTCTCCTGGTAAAATCTGCCTAACGTAGGATTTATACTGGGCAGAACATGTACCTTCCCTTTGTGACGCCACTGCTGTGATCAATGGAAAGAATGCTGAGAGCCTGGTCATCTCTAAAACTAAAACATAAAGACACATCATGCACTTTGACCTGTACCTTTACTTGCATGGCCTGTATGAAAGAAGAAAAATACAAGGGGAAAAAAAGTAAGTCAAGCTGATGAAAAGATGGAAAATTTACAGTCAATTTGAAACAATATTTTCCCTCTCAGCAGAGCAAGTAAGTCGGCAGTCCAACACTCTTTTACCTGTGAATAAGTCCCACAGAATTCAGTGGAGCTTTCTTTGGAGTATACAAATAGAAGATTATACTGTAAAATGTTTTGCATCTATAATTAACTATTATTCATGAAGTCAAAACATATCATTACATGCTGTCTTAATAAAAATAATGATTTACTATATCAGATTAGCTTTAGCTACTGTTTATTAAGGGATATTTCTAAAAAATAAAGAACATCAGAGGATTATCATTATTCATCATCACAATTCTCCTACTTTATGCAGTTTAGCATAAAGGAAAATCAACTCTACCTTCACATAAAAATTGTGTTTCTTATTAATGCATAGTATGTCTTCAGCATAAACTCAGTGAATAGTTAGTACAACTGACCTACCAATTTTTTTTACAAAAGCCTTTTAACTTTCAATAAACAACATTCACAAGAAATACAACTAAACAAGTACATTTGCTTTAACAATACTGTATAAATAAAGTTACAAAAAACTTTGTGCAGGTTACAGAAAATTTGATTTGACTGTTATTTTCTTTCTTTTGGCCTTGCCAGACATGTATAAAGGCCAGTGATTCAAAGTTATGAAGAGTTAAGGATTACCTTCAAATTTCCCCACCAATATATTAGAAATAATATAAATGAAAACAATGATCTTTTGTTCTATGGATTTCCAGAAATGATAATTAAGCTATTGATAAACTAGCTTGTCTTTACTGAGAAGGCAGCCAGGTACAAGGCCAAAACCTAGTTCCTTTGAGAATATGGAATATTTATTCCTTGGTCGGATACTTTTCTCTGCTTTAGCTGTGTTAAATCCCCCTTCCGTTTTTCCTTTCCATTGTTACTGTTAAACTGTGGATATTTTCTTTAGTTCTTCATTAATTTTTAGTTTGTGTTAACAGTTGTTTTAATGAAAATGCATGCTGTTCAAACAGGATCATTTAACATTTATATATTAGAGATGTGCACGAACTGAAAAAAATGGTAATTCATCTCAATTTGTAAATTGTCAAGGTCAACAAATCATGTATCATTAATTTAAGTTTTTTTTTTCCTGACAAAATGCCAAATCAATTCATCAATTTGTCTTGACTTTCTATACAACGCCCCTCTGGCACCTAGAGACACCTAAATTCCAGAAAAGCTTCTCCTGATTCTCCTGCAAATTTGCTGAAGTTTCCGTTTCAAATGTCTGAGTTATATACAAACAAAACCCCCTGAGAAAGTGCCCTCCAGGCACCTAGAAACATTAAAATTACAGAGAAGCTTCTCCAGATTCATCTCTACAAGTTTGGTGAAGACTGGCTTTCAGACAGCCAAGTTGTAAACCCACAAATTGATTTCTGGAATTTTCCTCACGTCAGCTGCTAGAGGACACTTTCCTCAGGGGACCCACTTCGTGGGTGTATAACTTGAATGTCTGAAAGCCAATCTTCACCAAACTTGGAGGAATTGTAGAGAAGAGTCTGGAGAAGCTTCTCTGCAATTTGTGTCTTTATAGCCCAACAAATAAAATATTGCTGAAAATTTATTGATTCATATTTGTGTTGCTTCTGACAAATCCAAATGATGAATTAGCAATTTTTTAAATGAATCTTGCAATTTTTAATTTGTGCTTATCTCTACTCTGTTTCTTTGTCCTAAATCCACTTTAAAAATGAAAGGAGGAATGCTGCACACAACAGTATCAAAAGAAAAACTCAGAAGAATACACACTTACTATTGCTTTTAACTGAGGCCCATACTAAACATAAGATCAAAAACTCTATTGGCTATTTATGCTTGCATAAAATGGTTTAAGTTGTGGCAGAAATTGCTGCTCATTAACAATGTGCTTGATGAGCTCTGGATCGTGTGGCCAAAATGTAACCAACACCTTGTTAATGAGCAGAATTTTGCTGCCCAGTCTAATATGATTTCTCTTACGCAAATGTAAATCACTAATAGGAGTCTGAAAAAGTTAACTCTGTCAATACAACCAGCATGTTATATCTGCTGGAGAACTCAAGTAATATCAGGAGGAAAAGGTGTATGGAGAATGAGATTTACCCTTTTCTGTATAATGGCTTGATCAATCTGCTTCTCCCTGCTGCTCTTTGCACAAAGGATGTTTTTAACACTTTCACTCCCAAATAGATGGGTTAATTTTCTGTCAGGATTGCAGTGTGGGGTGGAAAAATTAAATTATTCCTCCATACCCAGGCTCCTGAACAGCTGCTATTTACACCTTTTTAAATCCACAACTTAATGACATTCATAGATTGAATGCTGCATTTCTGGTTTGAGCCAAATATAGCAATGCACAATATCTATCTAATGTCCTGGTGGAAAAGTTTCTTACTGGCTTCCTACAGGCAGTTGGCCACTGTTATAAAAGAATGCTGGACTAGGAAGGCCTTCAGTCTGATCCAGCCTGCTTCTTATGTTCTTACTGTCATGGAAAAACATTAATCTTAGTCCTGAGAAATGAATCATATCAAATTGATCATTCACTAGTACTCCACAATATTAAAACAGCATGTATGGCAATCAAATTAATCTGCAGGGAGTACCAATAGTGGTAAATAACCTCTCTTGTTATTTATGCTATAGTTTCCTTGTAAGGTTTGGAGGGTTTTTTTCCCCTTTTCATATCCATGTGAAAATCATTGTGTCTGAAAGGGGGGGAATCTTTCTTCTAGATAGTGCTTTGTCCAATATTTTTGATCAAAACATTTCTGGACCTTCCTAGATAAGCAACATTTGGCAGATAAAGTATAGTATTAATTTCATATATAACAGCAGGAACAACCTCCGAGAACATTTAATAAGTCAAAATATTAGAACCCAATGACATCTATGAGTTTCTAAAAATAATATTTTTTCCAGTGCAGTGCTATAGTATAGCGCCAAGGCTGGAAGACCCAACATCCCTTATGCTTTAAAACTCTGCCCTTCTATTAAATGAAAATTAAATGCTTTGGGGAAAACTCAATTTTTAAACACCTACACAGATTTATCAAAGATGAAATCCTAAATAGGTTAAGAAGTAAATCCCATTGAAAACAGTGAGACTTACTTTTGAATAGATATACATAGGATCAGAGTCAAATCATCCTGCTTCTTTTAGGCTGCAATTGTACATATACTTACTATGAAGAAAGCCTCAAAAACACACAGGGAGTTCCTTTCACTAACATTACCTAGCTAGGGTATAGCTGATAAACACTTACTACAATACCTTAAATAATACTAAGAGCATTGTGTCCATGGTATAAAAACATGATACAAATATACTGAATACATGAAAACTGGAGCATGATTTGTTATATTTTAGAAACAGAGGTAATTCAAACATTTCTGTAAAATACTTAAATACTGTATCCTAAAACTAATTTTTTTAAGTGAATGTAAGGTTTACAAGGGGTTTAATTTTTATGCAAGCAATCAAAGTCAAAGCCTAAAACCTTCATGCAGTAAACCTTCATGTTGTAAATGGGATTATGCAGAAACAAATATTTACTGCACGCATATTTTTCATTACTGGAATATTGACCTAGTACATATGGTTGTGTAAATAGTTCCAGATTATGAACACATATTCTGCACAAATTAAATAACTGTTGCTGCCTGTTTGTTTGTTTGTTTTTAATTGTTTATCTAATTTGGGAAGGACAGAAATACGGATGGAGGCTTAATTTTTTGTAAGCCGCCCCGAGTAACATGGTCTAGAGGGGCGGGGTAAAAACCAAATAAATAAATAAATAAATAAATAAAGGCCTCCCTTTCTCTCACTCAAATGCTGCTACCACAAATTGTAGATTAGGAGATAACTATAAAAAATTTAAAAGGGAAAATCCAACACTTTTTACCCATTACAGCCCACATTCCATGGTTTGGAGCTGTTTTTTTCAGGCCACTGAAAGGGGAGCAAGGGGGAAGAGAAAGGGCAGGCAATTTCACTCTGCTAGTTCTACAGTGCCCTGTTGGATTTAGACTAAAAAGATATGACTTAAAGAATAGTCCTTTACACTGAACTGATTTATTTAGTCATATAATTAATTTATTTAGCCTTAGAAGAAGCTCTTCAAATAAGTCTGATGATTCTAAAGTCAAGGTACTTTTTATAAAAAAAAACCTGCCAGACAATTCATGCCTGAAAAACAGAAAGGCAGATATCCTGAAAATTAAGGATATGCAAATGTACACATACTTTTGACATATACTGTGGTTAATACTACATTGATAATATCACCCCAGTTTGAGCGACAATTTGTTTGAGTACAGAACAAGTATATTTCATAGAACTCCGCATGTCCTGCACTTTTAAATGGAAACATAAATTAGACCACTTGAAACAAGAAAAGCTGAATTAGATGGCATAAATTATTCGTGCAAAATGCCTCATTTATTTTGCATAATAAATTGTCTAATTTCTCATAGCAACATAGAAGTGCAGATCTGGAAAGGATCCCAAGATAAAGTACATCAAGGCCAATCCCCTATAAAAACAGAAAATCCATATTTAAAGCATTGCTGCAATATGTTCGCCAAAACTTCAAACATGGAGCTGCCACCATTTTACAGTGTAGCACAAAACAACTTTAATTGTCAGTAAATTATTTTTCATATTCAATTGAATCATATAATAATATTAGTTTAGCCATATTTCGCTCAGCCTATTCTTATTTTTACAAAGTAGTCCATTCCATTGTCAAAAAAGCTTTTACAGTACTGGCAAGATAGTCCACTTAATGTTTAATTGAAACATATAAGAAAGTATTACTTTATTAGTAAGGTAAAGGTTCCCCTTGACATTTAGTCCAGTCGTGTCCGACTCTAGGGCACGGTGCTCATCCCCGTTTCCAAGCTGTAGAGCCAGCGTTTGTCCGAAGACAGTTTCTGTGGCCACGTGGCCAGCATGACTAGACACGGATTGCCATTACATTCCCACCAAGGTGGTCCCTTTTTATCTACTTGCATTTACATGCTTTCTAACTGCTAGGTTGGCAGGAGCTGGGACAAGCGACAGGGGCTCACTCCGTCGCACGGATTCGATCTTGCGACTGCTGGTCTTCCGACTTCGCAGCTCAGAGGCTTCTGTGGTTTAACCACAGCGCCACCACATCCTAACTTTATTGCTAATTTTGCACAACTGATTTTGCTTCCATCAGTTATGTGAAGAAACAGAGAATGCACTGTTTTCTCTCGCTTTGGAAAACTGTATTCAGCAATGCTACTGGTCTCTGAGGCACTGCAAGCAAAGTTTCTTGCACCTTTTCCCCACAATAAGGGCTGGAAAACTGGGCCCTGGTTTATCAGCATAAATGTATGCACATAAATAGGCTTTTTCATGTATTGTCAATATAGATGCAGGCATAAACAATTTAGCAAGTTGTTTCTCTTGATGAGAAAATAGATAACCATCTGCATCTTGGGTAACTACTTGCATTGCAACCATAGTCACGTTAGAGGCCTGCTCTTTAAAATTTAAACTTGAGAGATTTAGAAAGTTAAATTATGTGGTTAATGCCAAAATTATATTTCCACCAACACATTGCAAACTTTGATGTAACTATGATCTCTACTCTGGCTTACAAATTGTATTTATTTATTATACTGTATTTACATAAATCATGTCCATATAGGTTACACAAGGATAGCTTTCTGATTCCCATTAGCCAAAAATAGTGAGAACAATTACCAGGAATTATGGCAACTCTAGTTCAACAACATATGGGGGGATATATATATTCCCAAACATTGGATTAGAGCTCTGACATAACTGCAGAACTAGACACAAATTCTTGCTTTTCTCTTGCAGTTTGAAATTTCAGCCTGAGTTCCTTTCACTAAGCTCAGATTTGCTAAATCATCCTAACTACCTGTGAATAGATACTATTTTAAATTGAAAAACTGGCCTATATGCAATACATTTATCAGCACAATAGATCATATTTAGATTATTATAAAAGTGATATAAAATATATCAAGAATTGTATTATGTCCCCTTCAGAAAATCACCTACACAAAGTTAAAAAAAAAGATTGATGTGTGTTTTACAATTTTGTAAAAAATCTGTTATTTCAGTATAGCCCAAATAACTCAGCTTGCTCAGACTAAATGTTCACTAACTTACCATTCCCCTCCGAGCAATCTGCTGCCATATTATTAGAAAAGAAAAGTTAAAAAATCTCACTCAGCTTGAAATAAAACCAGTTTAATGAAGGTTGTAATAAATTGTGTTTTATGTTTTTTTAAAAAAAGCATTGCTCAATCAGCTGACACAACTATTAAAATATTCAAGTTCCATGTAAAATACCATAGTTTGTATAGTATAACATATCTATACCTCTCCATGTGTCTATATATGTATTTTCAAGCAAATATGTACAGTTTTAATGCATATTATATATTTTACTTGCTTAAATTGACAGTCTTTAGCCAAGAAGCACTCAGCAATTTCAGTAACAGGAGAGTTTGCTATATCTCTGATTTTATGTTTGTTTGTTTGTTTGTTTGTTTGTTTATTTAATATACTGCTCCAGCAGTGCATGTACTATTTTGGGAGGTTTACAGTATGATAAAACAAGCAAAATAAAGTTAAAATAAAACACATACTCCTTTTAATACTGCATCAGAATATATTAAAGACTGGACTGCTATGCCATTTTCTAAGATTTTCATGGAGTGGGTCCTTCCTTTTAAGTCTCCTTTTCTTGTTGTTTAGGTACCACTCTACAGGGAATGTGGTCTGTCACTCAAATAGCAGGAGGCAGCCAGATTGGAAAGAATAATATTTTGAAAAGCTAGGCTAAAAGTTAGCCTTTCTTACTGGAACTCAGATAGATTCTTTTAAAGCAAACTGAATTCTCAGGGCAAGGACAGAACACTGCAGGCAACCACATATGACTCAAGACATAGATAATGCTTTTTTTTTCTGCTCAGAATTCCTGATGGTTAGTGATGGAAACTGGAAACGTAAGACGTAAACTACTGCTTTATTGACCAGGCAGAGACAAAAGGATATGCTTCTGCATTTATCCTAAACTGGTCAGTCCCAAGCTTCATACTGCATAGATCCAAGATGGTTTACTCCTCTTCTGCCTCCCAAAAGGGCATTGTAGCCTTAGCACATACAATCACAGAAACCCATCAGGTTTCCCCTGCTCCTCATGCTACCTCCTGATTCTAGTTCCCTCTTCCAATATTTTTGTCCTTCACAGTCAGCTTCTTCCATCCTATGTCTGAAGCATGTTACATAATACTAAAACTGCAATTCCATCTACATTCCCTTCAAAGTAAACTTTAGTGAACACAGTGGGACTTTCTTCTGAGTAAGTATTAATATGATTGTGTTGGATCTATAGAAATTTTATTTGGCCCATTAGAAATGTATACTGTTCTCAGTGAAGACAGAAGAGAGGCACATGGGAGATAAAGAGGAAGCAAATGCCCAAAGATGGGCACTAATTAATCTTTTGAAGGATAAGTAATTTTTCTTCTTTATGTATTCCAAAATGAAGCAGTGGCTGAAATCCTGTTGCTAAGCACAGTAAATTACACTAGAATAGACATATTGAATCAGTGGCGATTTGGTGTGCAAAACTCCTCTGTAAGTTCTGTTGACTCAACTAGGCCTACACTAATTGCTACTTACTATGTTAAGTAGGATGCAAACAGAGTAGGCCTATTTAAATAAATGGAACTTACAAAGCTGTTGACTCACCAAATCCTTATTGATTCAAGAGACCTACTCTAGCATGACTTGCTATGATAAGCAACAGGATTTCAGCCGGAATAAGAACAATAATAAAACTACCAAAATAAATGTTAACTCATAAAATAACCCTTAAAATTGTAACATAATAAACAAAGCAGGAAAGAAAATTGTAATTATATTTCAGTGCTATGAATGAAGTGACCATTGATAACACTGGTCTTGATACACAATTTAAGGAAATTCTTTAGAAATCTGCCACGGCCAGGCTCAGCAAACAATAGTAAAATAATGCCTAAGTTCTTTAAAAAAGAAAAAAAAAAGAATGAAAAGAGTGAAATGCTGCCTAAGCCTTCTGTCAGTTTCTTGCAATTTTAGCTTATAAAGTTCCTAACCTCAAAATGTTTTACTAGTTGGTGAACTATCAAAGCACAGGTAAAGTGTGGCCTGTATTTAATCCATATCGCTGTCTCGCGTCTTTATTCTGGGACTGGGGGGGCAAGTGTGTGTGTGGGGGGGTTAATTTCATCACGTTTTTGACCCTCTCTGGTCTATTTCAGTGTCAGAAAGACCTTTTCAAAAAACTGGACTGGACTTTTTTCTTTTTTTTTTTAAAGTCTTCCCCAGCTCTAATATCAGGAGGTAAAGACATCATCAGGCTTTTGTTCATGGTTAACAATCAGTGTGCAGCACCTAGTTGTGGGATTTTGCCTGAAATAGTCAAAAATAGTCACTGGATCACTGCTAGTGGTCCTGATCCTGGTGGTGGTGATTTTTAACTTCTAAACCCCCCAAACCTAAAAGGAGAACTTATAGGAATAGGAATCAAATGGGATTTCTTCTTGCTAATGCAGAATCCTAGAATATGAGTCAAGACATCGATCTGTTAGATTTTCTACAAAGTCTGCTTAAGAATGAGCCATAAGCACCTAGTTTTCTACATACAGGAAATCATAGACACTACAAAATCATCAGTGCACAGTGATGACTTTCACCACCTTGATAAAATTTTATTTGATAAAATTTATCTTGCTATTGTAAAACTGTCATCTAAAAGGTCTTGTTCTCTCACTATTAAGATACATTGCTAACTTAAGTGAAGAAATGTCAGAGACAGTATGATGTTCTATAACTACCTCTCGAATAAGTGGGGTGACACACTAAAACTCTCAGTTTTACAAATCTCAGCCAGGACTTTTTCTTTGGTGATACCCTGTGCAAAATGCGTAAGAATGCCTAATTTCTATATAAGGAGTTATCTGCTAATTGTAAGACTGAAGCATCCAGTGGTTTTAGCACTGTGTTCCATTTTCAATCAGTTTTGATGGTAAAATTTTAACTGATCATCTAGTTCACTTATACAGGCGTACCTCAGTTAACGTAATTTTCAGTTGAAAACAATGCCTCAGTTTATGTTTTTTTTGGGGGGGGGTCGGTTCGCGAAGAAAGTTTCCCCAGGATGCATTGTGTCTGGAGGTTTGTAGCACCGCCCCCATTTCTATGGCAATCCACATTTCGGTTTATGAAATTTCTGTTTTATGTAACTGTCGCGTTCCCCCAGTGTCCCCTGTTTGTTTTCGCTCAAACACAGGTCCACCTTCGGACATGATGCACTATTTTCTTCCTTTACAGGCTGCCACTAGTGGATCTTTATCCACACTGTATCAAATATGTTTCTTAGACCCGGGCTGCCAAATATAACAGGTTTATTTATTGTTTGATTGGTAAATCACAGAAGTAAAGTCATAGATGTTCTATTATGGTTCAATCATTAAACTTGGATAGGATTACACGTTAGCTTGTTTGTACAGTGGGGTCTTGACTTGAGAACTTAATCCGTATTGGAAGGTGGTTCTCAAGTCAAAAAGTCTGTAGGTCAAGTCTCCATTGACCTACAGTGCATTGAAAACCGATTAATCCCGTAACAGGCTGTTTTTGTTCCATTTTAGTTTTTTTCTGGTCTGTAAGTCAAATCTCAGTCTGCAAGTCAAACCTAAATTTTGCGGCCAGAGAAGTCTGTAACTCAAAAAGTCTGTAAGTCAAGCCGTCTGTAAGTCAAGGGTCCACTGTATTCCTTCTCATTAACCACTGTAACAATATCTTATGACTGTCTATTTTCTATTACTTTTATCTCTTATCTATTCTCTAAAACACACAAACTTCCAAATCTCTCTCTTAACACCTCAAAACCTCTTCTCTAACTCCTTTCAATCTCCAACTGTTCTTCTTGACTCCATATGACGGCCAGGTGTGACTTGGGCATTCTGTCACAGTAATGTTCTGGAGAACGTATTAAATTCGTAAACTGAGGTACTACTGTAAGTTCATTTTGTGAAAAGTTCCTGCCTTTTCCAGCATTAACTTCCTTTGTCATTGTTATCTGTGTCATAGAATCATGAAGTTGGAAGGGACCTATAAGACCACTGAGTTCAACCCTCTGCTCAATGCAGGAATATACAGTAAATCAAACAATATCTGCCAGGGAGCTGTCTAAATACTTCTTCAATGCCTCCAGTGTTGGAGCACTCACCACCTCTCAAGATAATTGATTCCATTGCCATACTGCTCTAACAGTTAGGAAGTTTTTCTCCCCTGATATTCAACTGAAATCTGGTTTCCTGTAACTTGAGCCATTTGTTGCATATCCTGCACTCTGGGCTAAATGATAACATCTATATTACAGTCTTTTAAATATTTGAAAAGTGCTACCATATCCTCCCTCAGTCTTTATTTCTCAAGGCTAAATAAGCCCAGTTCTTTCAGTCTTTCCTCACAGGGTTAATTTCCAGCTCCCTGATCATCCTTGTTGCTGTCCTCTGAACTTCTTTCAGTTTGTCAACATCCTGGATTGGATAAGTGGTTTTGTAATCCAAAATATGTTGCTCAATCCTTTTCTTTTACTCTACATAATGCTGACATCATTTTTAGTAGGATTTACTTTGGATATTGTGGATGGCAGATTGTTTGGTTTCTAGTGGATAAAACCAATTTTATATTACCTAACCTGGAGCTATCAGGTTATAAGGCCACCTTGTTTTGGTGCTACCACCAAAGCAAAATTATAAAAATATATTATTGTTTTAAATAATAATTTAGCAAGCACCAAAGATATACTGTATACATACATGCATATCTATCTTCTATACTCATATATTTTCATCTTCTATAATCTTATATTGTTTAAAATGTTTTTTAATATCTTTTTTCAGTAAGTCAACTTGCACATTTAGAATTTTTTCTGCTACATGGTAAATATTATGCTTAATATTCTTCAGAATGTTTATATTTAAGTAATAAAGGTCCAAAAAAAAAATCTGAAAATACTGTCATGTGTGGAAGGAAAAATGGTAACATACAGTTAAGGCAGCAGTTTTTTCTGAGGCACATTACAAACAGCCTTGCACTACATTTTTCACACAAATATACATTTATCTCTGCAACTTATCAAGAGAACGATAGTTATTTTTAGATCTCCCAAGGCTCCCCAATGATAGCTTACTTTATTTTGTAGGAGAATTATCTGCAGAAGTTCAAAGTCCCAGTGTGTTCAGCTTCACAAATGCTTGTGAAATGCTTTAATGTACTCCTTTTTTATGCACTGATTGCTAACTGAAGCTTGCATTCTGCAAGCATAGACTTCAACTCTGGGCTACAAATGGAAGTCTAACTTCTCCCAAATGAAACTTATGAAAGAGAAGGAGAATTCACACCTCAAAATACATCATCCTGTATGCAGTATGGTTTACTCAGTCCCGGAGGGCTGGCCTCTCATGAGGTAAGTGTGTTATGAGCCCTAAGCCAATTACAATGTATCACAGTGCATGGAGCAATCCCATGCAGTAAATCACTATTAATATACAGTGGTGACTCGCTTTACAATTGCCCCGCATTACGATTAAACCGCATTACGATGATCTTTTTGCAATCACAATTGCGATAGCAAAACGATGGTCTGAATGCGTTTTTTTTTGCTTTGCGATGATCGGTTCCCTGCTTCAGGAACCGATTCTTCATAAAACGATGATTTTCCTCCAGCTGATTGGTGGTTTCAAAATGGCCACCGGGTAAATAAAATGGCTCCCCGCTCTTTTCTGAGATGGATTCCTCACAAGACAGCCACCGAAATGGCCGCTCTATGGAGGATCTTCGCTGGGTGGTGAGTTTACAGCCCATTGGAACACATTGAAGGGGTTTCAGTGCATTTCAATGGGCTTTTTATTTTCACATTACGACGTTTTCATTCTACAATGATTTCGCTGGAACGAACTGTAACTTACTCATTAACTTGATTGGTACTCTTGGTAGCACCAATATAATACTGAAATGTAATCTCATTTCTAACTGTAAAGAGCAATAGGCTCCCTAAATAAATGTATAACTTGGAATTTAGTTATACAGTATACCCTAGAATCTGAAATCATGTTGAACTTCAGATCTGAGACTGGCAACCAGAAAGATCAGACTGCAGAGAACTGGATGCCTGTAATCAAAACTGAGCTACTAGAAGACAAGTTGTATGTTCCTAACATGTAACTATGGGTCTCAAACTTGCAAAGGTCAAGCAGCTTTAAAAGGCTTACTGTACCAGTGTGCAACAGAGGAGAACTATATCCTATCAGAACCTCCTATGCAACATTTCAAAATTTCATGTCTAATGTCTGTCCCTATTTTATCTTCTTTCTTTTTCAGTCCTTTCACTTGAATGAAAGTTCTCTATAAATTATTTTTACAAACAATTTCCCCAATAAATATTCATGCTTATCTCAGTAACAAACTGGCTTTTCATAATCTCAGATGTAATGTCTAATTTAATAAAGTAGAAGTGGCAATCTCTGCAATTCATTTAATTCACACATTATACTTTCAGATTTTTCTAGGAATTGGGATACCTTTGATTTACAAATATTCATCAAATTTCACATTTCTAAGTCAAGTGAGTGAAGGCTTTTTGTGATGTTTGTATTCCCACATGTGTCTGAATGTCAAGCTTCTTTATATAAATTATACATATTGCTAGAAAGAATAAAAGGAAGTGCTAGACTCATCTTATTTCAGTATACACAAAAACATCACAAATTTGATTTGCAGTGTTTCCTGCTCAATTGGTGTACCTGCATTATGAAATATATTTATGTTCTCTAGCTTTTGCCATATAAATAATTTTAAAGGTTTACCCCCAAAGGCCATGGCATTATATTGTTATATTAGCATCCTAAAATATGGTAGGCAGAACTTTCTCCCTTTTAAGATGCACCACTTTTAAGAAGCTACAGTTCAATGGTTATAAAGTATTAGAGATTAACAATAATATATTTGGACTCATGTACTTTTTCTACTTACTTTTGATATTTTATTCTTGCTGTCTCCTGTCAAAAATGCCAAATTGTTGATTTCATTCTGAATTACAAAATTTTGCTCTTCTCTCTTGAAATTCTGAAATACATATGTTGTTTAGCAGTATGTAAAAATGTTTTTATCCTGAGTTAAATGTTAAAGCTATTCATATCTGCAAACATGCATACTATAAAGATTAAACATGAAATCTTTTCTTACATGTGATTTGCACCAGAGGATGAAAACTTCAGCTACCATTCGAAAAAGTTCATCAGAATCTGCATCTGGTTTTTTCAACCAATTTGATCTAAAAAGAAACCAAAATGAGTTTAATTAATGTGTAATGTTTATTCTATGCTGTACCCTTACATTGCCTCTCTTGAGTCCCTCTTTGATCTGTTTTCTATAAGCACAGTAGCAGTAATCCACTAGTAAAAGTTTGTGCTTGTCAAAGTGTGTAGGAAACATAATTTTTACTCCTTTTACTGCAGACATTTAACATATTAACAATACAATTCTATATCTATGCTATGTTTATTCAGTATGCATGTCTACTTAGAAATAAGTCGAAATGAACTCTATGGAACTTACCTACAGCTGGCTATAGCAATAATATCTGTAGCTATCTTTGCAAACAATACTGTAGGTACTTAGGGCCACCTTAAAAACAACTAATGTGTATGAAGCCCCAGTATATGAGATGGATTAATTGTCTAGCTGACTAACTGTAATGTTATATACTTTTAAAATTTAAAAAATGGCTTGAGAAAATGTATCTTGCATTATGTGAGCAAACCTGTCAATGTTAGCCAAAAGAACAACCTAAACTGCCTTAGGGTATTCTGAAGCAACCTTCCAAGGTTATGGAATATTTATGCTTTAAGAAGCATTGCTGACTTTTCCCATATTAAACTCAGACATCAAGTGTTTCAGAATGCTAAAATATTCTGAATCGTGCACTTTAACATGTAAAGTGTACTACAAAGACATAAGATTGAAAGCCAGACTAGATTCAGAAGAAAGAGGGGTGAAAATTGGTGGAAGAAACACCAATAATTTAAGATGTGCAGATGACACCCTCTTACTGACAGGTAAGTAGTAATTTGAAAGAATTTTTAATGAAAGTGAAAGAGGAAAGTGCCAAAGCAGGATTGCAGCTGGAAGTTCAGAATACAAAAATCATTACTACAAAAGAACTACACAACTTTAATGTTGACAACGAAGAAACTGAAATAGAGATTTTGTATAACTTGGTTCAGTCATCAAGCTAAAAGACTGAGACTCTGAAGGGCAGTAATGAAGGAACTAGAAAAGATAATCAAGAGTCAGTATGTGTTACTGTAGACACATAGAAAATTGATATTATCATATCCCCAGTCATTATATATGGGTGTGAAAGCTGGACAGGAAAAAAGTTGACAGAAAAAAATTGATTTGTTTGATATCTGGCGCTGAAGGAGATAATATTTGTAGATAGCCTGGACTGCAAGAAATAAGTGGGTAATAGATCAAATCAAACCTGGATTATCTCTGGAAGCCAAAATATTGAGACTTGATGGCACACAACAACAGAAACAAGACTGAATGAAATTTCTATTTTTGGCTCTGTTCTCTGTGTATTCAGGTATCATTGAATCATAGCATCATGGTGTTGGAAAGGGGGTCTATAAGGCCACTGAATCCAAACCCCTGCTCAGGGTGGTCAGCAGTAGACTCTATCCTGTTCCTTTTGTTTTTCACCCCTATGATAATCCAGATGCTCTTAATGGGACAACCAAGCTCATTCTTTGTATTTCTCTGCAGGAATAGGTATTTTTAGCACATAATGTAACCCCATTTCTCTTTCTATTCTTTCTGTTCTTTTTAAAATATTTATATCGTTCAATTGCTGTATTCCAGTCATGGAAGCCATCCCATGATTTGATAGGGATTGCATTCTAGTAATCCCTGTCAAATCATATTTACTTTCCTGGACTAAGATTTCCAGTTTTTGTTCTGCTCCCATATTCCAGAGATTTTATGATTTCCTTTGTACATTTTTATGAAGACTATCAGTGGGCCCCATTAGAGCTGCAGCTTCCTGACTTTTTTTCTTTATACATTACATTTTACAGAATATAAGCTGATGTTAATGCACTAATTTGAATGTTGTCTTCTCTGCTTAATCTAAATTTAGAGAGGTCTGAGGTCAGAAAGAACATTTTTATCCTATGTATTGATTTTTTCAAGAAAACACTCTATTCTTCCTTGTGTCAGGTGTCAAAGCTATCAAGATTTGCACTTTCTGGCATTAGTTAACATTGTTTGCTGATCCATGAAGTGACCTTGAGTTGCAGAGAAAAACAGATGCTACTTCCTTATCAACAGGCCCAAACATAAATGGAATCTATGAGTTTTAAGGGCACGTCACATGGACTCTGATTTTTTTATAACTTTAAAGCAAGCTAACATTTTCTATAAGAAGGTTGTATACTGTATAAGATAAACACCTTTAAAAATGTTTTCAGAAAACATTTACTTTTTCATAACAATTAAAGTTTTAAAAAACAATTTTGAAAGAGATGAACACCCAAAATACATTTTGGGGGAAATCAGGGTAAAGTACACTATTTTGCTCACTGTCATATTATACGTGCTAAGATGTAGGTGCAGCCAAACTGGAGAGACATTTCCAGCTCAATTTTTTTTCAAATTACTTTCCTAGTTGCTCAGTTTAACAAGTAAGAGACTATATTTTTAGAATATGAGATGGACTGATTAAACGAAGTGAACCATGGCTTTGAGTTTGCAAGACCTAGACAGGGTTGTTAATGACAGAACCCAAGAAGCAGGCGTCTTTTAATTTTGTGGATGCTGTCACCTTTTGCAGTGATCATGGAGCCCAAGAAAGTAAAATCTGCCACTGCCTCCATATCTTCCCCTTCTATTTGTCAAGAGGTGGTGGGGCCAGTGGCCATGATCTTAGTTTTTTTGATGTTGAGCTTCAGACCATTTTTGCACTCTCCTCTTTCACTCTCATTAAGAGGTTCTTTAATTCGTCCTCACTTTCTGCCACCAGAGTGGTGTCATCTGCACATCTGAGGTTACTGATATTTCTTCCGGCAATCTTAATTC